TGACAATCTGACAGATTTTCCTGGATTGTGGCTTGAATCAGGTGTTTAAGTGAACCCTTTGCATAGTTCATACTCAGTAGGCACAAAGATAATTTATATATAAATTGCTGTTATTTCTCCCAAAGTTTAAGTTCTCTGGCTTCTGCTTGTAGGGCTTTAAGAAAAGCATAGTTTTAATTTCTCATGACTCGTCAGAGGCATGTGAACCAGAGCAACTCCATGGTGAGTAGGGGCTGGGTAAAATAAGGCTGAGACCTACTGAGCTGCATTCCCAGGCGTTTAGGCCTTCTAAGTCACAGGTTGAGATAGGAGCTCGGCACAAGATACAGGTCATAAAGACTTTGCTGATGAAACAACTTGCGGTAAAGAAGCCAGCCAAAACCCACCAAAACCGAGATGGTGACAAGAGAGACCTCTGGTCATCCTCTCTGCTACACTTCCACCAGCACCATGACAGTTTACAAATACCATGGCAATGTCAGGAAGTCACCCTATATAGTCTAAAAAGGAGAGGCACGAACAATCCACCCCTTGTTTAGCATATCATCAATAAATAACCACAAAATGGAAAACCAGCAGCCCTGGGGTTGCTCCGTTTATGAAGTAGCCATTCTTTTATTCCTCTACTTTCTTAATAAACTTGCTTTCACTTTACAGACTCACCCTGGATTCTTTCTTATGCGAGATCCAAGAACTCTCTCTTAGGGTCTGGATCGGAACCCCTTTTCGGTAACAATTCCAAAACAAGAAAATGGAAGAAAAAATTGAAAATGTTAGTTTGGAGACTTGTAGCCAGGAAATAAGTCTGAATACAGTCCAAATTATAGGCAAATAATAAAAATTCAAAAACAATGAATAAGGCTAGAATCTAATAACAGGTATACTATAGTTTTCTTCTGAAACATAATTTTTCTTTCTCCAGTTTCCCATTTTTATCAAGGATAAATCATCGTATGACCAATTTATTTGCAAAATAAGTTTTAGTCTTGTACCTGGCCTGATTATTTGCATACAATGCCGTAAGCATAGTGATTGACCACATAGACTCCTTTTAAATTCGCTTTGTTGGAACCAGTTCATAAGGAATAGCAGATTTGACTTTTTAAAAGCCTCTTGAGGTTAGCCAAGCCAAGGATTTATCTGTGCCTCTAGATACCTGTATGAATTGGGGGTGAATTCCACTTTTCTTGAGGTCCCAAAGTAACTTGAGGTTCCTGGGCCTGTCAGAAAGTGACATTCTTTTTTTTTTTTTTTTCTCGCTCTGTCGCCCAGGCTGGAGTGCAGTGGCCGGATCTCAGCTCACTGCAAGCTCCGCCTCCTGGGTTCACGCCATTCTCCTGCCTCAGCCTCCTGAGCACCTAGGACTACAGGCGCCCGCCACCTCGCCCGGCTAATTTTTTGTATTTTTTAGTAGAGACGGGGTTTCACGGTGTTAGCCAGCATGGTCTCGATCTCCTGACCTCGTGATCCGCCCATCTCGGCCTCCCAAAGTGCTGGGATTACAGGCTTGAGCCACCGCGCCCGGCAAGCTTTGTGAAATTTCTAGTTGACTTTCTCATTGGTCTCATTGGACAGAACCGAACCATAGAGCCAGTTTATACCCACTAGGTGCAAGGGAGGCTGAGAAATAGGTTTCTTAAATTGGACTCATTGCTATCTGAACAAAATCAGTGTTCACAAGTAAGGAAGAAGGGGGAAATAGATATTGCGAGGTACCTGGCATTGTCTGCCACAATCCTATTCATTAACATTCATTAACACAATAACTATTCATTCAATGAATAGTTATTGAATGAATGAATAGATGTATGAGTAAATGACCTTTTGGTCCTTGTCACATAGTCTGGTAATCTTCTTAGTCAACCAATAAAACATCTTTGCTAAAATATTAGAGAAAGTATCAGTTGTCTATCAGTTATTATAAATGTATGTATAACGTTGCGTGTGTATGTGTATCTGTATGTGTTACAGAGGGTTATAAATAGAGCTACAGATATCTCAAATTGTATTTGTTCTTTTTCCTAAAGAGTCGCCCTTTCTAGTATATGTGGGAAGAAGGAAAGGCTCTTTCACCTCCGCTCCTGGCTGCTGTCCCTAGTTTCACAGGCTACTGGATATAGTCTTCTCCATAAAATGCGGCACCCTGGCTTGGCACAGCACCAGGCTAGGGGTGAACTGGACCGGACCACCCTTTCCTTCCTGACTTCCCCTTTCTGCTGTCCACACAACCATCACACAGCATGAAAAAGTGTACTGAATTTGACAAAGGGTTGAGATGACTCCATTCATTCAGTCAACAAATACTTTTTGAGCACCTACTGTGTGCCAGGCACATACTAGGTGCTAAGGATACAAAAGTAAGGAGGCTGACATGTCCCTCAGGAGTCCCAGGCAGGAGCACTGCTTTAGCCCAGGAGTTCAAGGCTGCAGTGAGCTATGATTGTACCACTGCACTTCAACCTGGGTGACAGAGTGAGACCCCCATCTCAAAAAGAAAAAAAAGAGAGACTGACATGTCCTTCATTCAGCTTAGAGTATAGCAGGGGAAAGGATCATTAATCAGTATCCAAATCCATCACTTCAAGTTGTGAGAATGTGTCATGAAAGAAAAAGCGTGTTTTGAGAGAGACTGACAGAGGAGACAATTTAGATTGAGATGGAACGAGGCAAAGAGAAGGCCCCCTAAAGAAGGGATATTTAGGCACAAACCTGGGGGAATCAGTACAAGGGAGTTAAGAAAAGAGGAGGGGAAAGGCATTCCCAGTAGAGGGAAGAACTTATGCAAAGGCCCTAAGGTGAGAAATAATTTGTCATATTTAAGGAACTAAAGATGGGCTTGCGGGAGAGAAAGCTGACAATCTGCTTTCCAGACACCTCTTGTCCACACATATACAAGCACACACAGACACACAATTTTATGTAAATGAGATCATCCTATACACACTGTTTCTAATCTGCTTTGTTTTCATTTAATGTAAGTTATCAATAACTGGCAAAAACAAATGTTTTGTTAACCCAGTTTTTGCAAGAGAGAGAAACATATTCTAGTGGCTGACAGAAATGCTAATTAGTGAAATTTGTCAATCACAAAAGAAGGGGAAGAGAACAGGGCCTGGAATGGGAGCCCAAAAAGCACCAACACTGAGGGGTGAGCAGATGAAACCTTGCAAGGGAATCTGGGAGGACTAACCAAAAAGTAGCAGGGAAAATAGGGAAAATTTGTGGTTCCTGGAAAGAAATGAGATTATGAAAGGGAGGGAGAGCTCCTTAGCCTCTGATGTTGTGGAGGTCAAGAAAGGATGGAAAAGGGTACTTGAAGTTGGTAGCACAGAGGCTGTGGGTGGTTTGACTAGAGCAGGCCCTAGGAATGGTGGGACACAGAAGCCTTGTTTCAGGGGTTTGAGGAGTGGGAAGTGAAAAGCTAGAGACTAAGAGTGCAGACAACTTTTTTAAGCCACTTGGCTCCGAAGGGAAGAAAAGACAGTGGAAGAGGATTGGGGGCAAGGCAGGATTTTTCTTGTGATAAGGAATCCATAAGAGAGGGAAAAATTGAAGTCCGAGAAGAACGATTGTTCCCAGGTGGAAGAGCCACATTTTATTCTTGATTCAGGTTCAACAAGAGAGGCTTGGACTGCCTTGCGGTCTAGAACGCAAGCGCGCACGCGTGTGCGTGTGTGCGTGCGTGCGTGTGTGTGTGTGTGTGTGTGTGTGGCGGGGTGGGGGGTTTGGGTGGGGGAATACCACTAGTGGTTAAAAGCAAGTACGCAGCATTGGGAAATGAACCAAACTGGGAGGAGGCACAGCCCACTCAGTGTCCAGGCCGGTGCAAGCTGCAGGCCTGAAACCCACCCACCCTCTTAGATGTGTCTCCGGGCCATAGAAATCACTAGGGTTGCTTGGGTGTGGCCTCAACCTGTTCAACAACCTGTTTCCATTCTAGAAACCAGTCCTTGTCTTCCAGAACAGTGATTCTCAAATTTTAGCTGGCATCAGAATCCCGGGAAGGGTTTGTTAAAACATTACTAGGCAGGGCGAGGTAACCTAAGAGCTTTTGGAGGCCCAGGCAAGAGGGATCACTGGAGGCCAGCAGAGTTCAAGAGCAGCTCAGGCAACACAGGGAGGCCTCTTCTCAACAAAAATACTACTACTACTACTATTACTACTACTACTACTACTACTACTACTACTAGTAGTAGTACTAAAAATAGCCAGGCACGGTGGCTCACACCTGTAATCCCAGTGCTTTGGGAGGCTGAGGCTGGAGGATGAATCACTTGAGCCCAGTTGTTGGTTTTGGTGAGCTATGATCGCACTTCTGCTCTCCAGCCTGGGCGACAGAGATAGACCCTGTCTCTAGAAAAATAAAAAAATAAAAAAACAAGTAACAAAAAGACTTCTAGTCTCCACCTATAGAGATTGTGCCTCAGTAAATATAAAGTGGGGCCCAGGATTTCTAACGTGCATTTCTAACGTGTTCTGCTTTTTTTGGCCCCTAGTCCGCACTTTGAGAACCGTTGTCCTAGAGAAAACTGAACACTCCAGGAAGGTTCTGGAAGAATAGGAATGGGCTTTGGCACTCTGCTCTGGAAACCAGTCAAACGCTCATGTTAATCCAGAGAAGGGTAGCACTGTGCCAGATACGTCCTCTGTGAGGGTTGGTCCAAGATGACGAAGCGGCAGGCGACAAGCACAGCTATGAGGAAGGGTTAGACACAGGTCCACATGAGACCCATGGGAAAAGGGCAGGAGAAATGCGAGAACCTTTGAGAGGGAATGCTCTGGGGTGTCTTTGGGGGCAGTCACTGAGCTGGGCCTGGAGGCTGAGTAGGGTCCTACACGAGGGAATGGGTCAGGTTTAGGGACGGAGAACAGCATTCGCAACCGCAGCACCAGCACCTGCTAAGAACCCAGCCAGCAGGGAAAGTAAAGTATGGACGGAAACACGCATGCGTTCAGGGTGCTGCGTGAATTAACCAGGCGCCGGCGCAAACAGCAAAGGTTTCCCGGCCTGTCTTGGTCAGGGTACGCAGTAAGCTGCAAACCTCGGAGTGTAGGCCACCGCTCTTACCCGCAGCAGGGAGGCCCGCAGCCGGTAGGGTGGGCTCTTCCCAGTGCCCGCCCAGCTACCGGCCAGCCTGCGCCTGCGCAGATCTTTTGTGGTGCTGTCAGGGAGACCCCTGCGCACTCCGGAGTAAGATGGCGACCGCGGCCAGGCGGGCCTGGGGAACTGCGGCTGTTGCCGCGGGGCTGCGCGGGCGGTAGGTAAAGAGCCTGGAGCTCCGAATAGGTGTGCCGTTGGGCTTAGCCAGCGGAGCGGTCGCCGCCTTGCAGACCCTCTCGAGGCGGGTGGGTAGTGCATCTGATGGAGCCGGCGGGTCCGCCCTGTCGCCGCAGTTGGGGGTGAGCCCTGAGGTGTATGGCCGTCGGTGCGGGAGCTCGGCGCTTCTGTGTCCTAATCCGGGCGGACTCTGTGGAGCTTCGTCTCAGGCTTAGAGACCCAGTGCTTGAGTCTGTGCGGTATGGAAGCTTGTAGAGACTGGCTGTAGAGCCAGAACGGAGGAGCTGTTTTTAAATCGTGTGCCTCTCCCGCCCCCAGGCCCTTTACGAGGTGCATTCCCTCCTCTTCTAAACAGAATCAGAATGTCACACAGAAAGGAAGAAAATACCTTGTCTCGTTTCCTCATTTTCCCAGTAAGACCCTGAAAGAGGAGGTAACATGTCCAAGGTCACACAGTTTCTAAGTGATGGAACTCCGACGAGAATTCAGACCCCTAGATTCCCTGCACCCGTCACCATTAAGCCCACTCTGGTCCCTTGTTTTTCCCCCTTTCCTGAGCCGTACCTTTGAGTTTCAAAGACTTCTGTGAACATTGCTAAGAGGACATTTATGTAGGTGTACCTTAATTTTACGTCTGGAGAAAATGGCCTACAAGAGTTTGCCCTCTTGAGTATTTGACATTTTAGTGTTAATGGTGCTCTTGAAGTTTAAATGTATATCCTAAAAAGATTTAAGTTGGTAGAGTTTTTTGTTAGTTACCTCCTGTGTTTGAGTAGATGTCTTCCTTGAATAATGTAATCCACTCTTGGTTTAAAAACAACAAGACTTTAAACCTGTATGTCGGAATGTGCTTCCTCTATTCATTCTGCTGCCTTTTCCCTGGGCTGAAGGGATAAGAATATTATTCTTCTAGTGTATTTCCAAATTCCAGAGTATTCACAGATTTAGATACTGAACTATAGAAAAAGGCATTTTTACTCCAAACCTTGAACTTCGCTCAATTAGTAATTATTGGGCACCAGTTAAATAACGGTAGCAGCTGTCATTTATTGAGCACTTACTGCATGGCCTGGCACTGGTTTAAGCACTTTGCATGGATTCTCTGGATTCTTTATGAGGTAGCTGCGAAATTAATCTCATTGTAGAGATGAAGAAGTGAGGCCATTGTGCTAGCAGCTGGAAATGAAGATAGTTTCTCCCCTTAATGAGTATGCAGTCTAGCAAGAAAAATATGTTAACAAATAATGACAAAGTCATGAGTGCTGTAATAGATTCATATAATTTAAAGTGGTGTGCTGGGCGCAGTGGTTCACGCCTGTAATCCCAGCACTTTGGGAGGCCAAGCCAGGCGGATTGGCTGAGGTCAGGAGTTCGAGACCAGTCTGGCCAACATGGTGAAACTAAAAATATATATATATAAAAAAAAGCCGGGCGTGGTGGTGTGTGCCTGTAATCCCAGCTACTCGGGAGGCTGAGGCAGGGGAATTGCTTGAACCAGGGAGGTGGAGGTTGCAGTGAGCCAAGATCACGCCACTGCACTTTAGCCTGGGCGACAGAGCGAGAAAAGCGAGATTATTTCCATCTCAAAATAAATAAATAAAGGAGTGACAGCTCGTACTGTGATCAACACTGGAGCTAGTGTGGGGAGTGGCAGTCAGGATTTCACAGATTATTTGATTCCCATTCAGTGTTGATTCCATTGTTCTCTTGAATCCTCGGTTCCAATCCTTTTATCTCTCCAATAGCGTCTAAGAAACTATGTGGGTTAGAGTCCCACAGTATCCCAGTAAAGTAGTCTTTTGCTTATCAATGGCATATAATGATTACCGAAGGTTGGAAAAAGTTAATCTGTATTCTATTAATACTTCATTGGCGCCCACTCATTCTTTTCCACAAGAAGAATTCCAGTTTTGGTAGAGAAGAAAATGTAACAGCCCCTGTTGCTTCTTGCCTATTTTAAGCAGCAAATAATTAGATAAATGTGATCTTGTGTATGATCACCATGTTTGCCTTTGCAAAACATTTTAACAGAAAATTATGACAGTGAAAGACCGTTCTAACCAACCACCATTTTGCCTTTAACCTCTAGACTGCCCATTCCCAGGCTTGGGCCAAGCTAACTTTGGGAGACATTAAATTGATAGTTTAAATGATAATAGCCCTTTCCCAAAATTAAACCACCTTTGTAAGGCTAATGAAAGACCATTGGGTTGGGAGGATGAGAGGAGCCTGAATTCTGCTAAGGTGTAGATATAAATGATTACCAGCCATTATTCTGGAGGTCATAAGAGTTGCAACTTTCCCAATTATTCCTGCAGAAAACATCACTCTTGTAGAACCTAAGATTAGCTTTTTCAGATTGTTGCATTTCTGACTGGTTCTGTGGCTCCACCCATAAACGGACTGAGCACTCAGGAGGACCATTTTCCACACCCCTATGATTGCATCCCCAACCAATCAGCAGCACCCGTTCCCTGGCCTGCCAGTCTATCGTTGAAAACCCCTAGACTCAGATCCAGAGAGACTGAGTGCTGAAACTCCAGTCTCCCTTGCAGCTGGCTCCGTGTGAATTAAACTATTGCAAATCCCCTGTATTGATGAATTCGCAGTATCTGAACCCATTGGCAATTAAAAATGACTCTTGTGCTTAAAATTTTTCCATGACTCCTATGAAGTGGCAGTTGTAATGGAGAGCGATGATATTTTCAAGTAAACTGGATTTTAAAGTAAATTGCATTAGGATTTTAAGAATTTTCACTACTAAAGTCTCCTTTTACTTCCTTTTCCAGAAATATTTGCTTTTCTTTTCTTCCTTTGTTTTCAGTTTGTCAGAGCCATCAAAAATAGCCAATTATGTTTTCTCTATAAGAGTAAAGTAAAGTTAGAGACCGGGCGTGGTGGCTCATGCCTGTAATCCCAGCACTTTGGGAGGCCCAGGCAGGTGGATCATGAGGTCAGGAGTTCAAGACCAGCCTGGCCAAGATGATGAAACCTGTCTCTACTAAAAATACAAAAATTAGCCGGGTGTGATGGTATACACCTGTAATCCCAGCTACTAGGGAGGCTGAGGCAAGAGAATCGCTTGAACCCAGGAGGTGGAGGTTGCAGTAAGCCGGGATCGCATCACTGCACTCCAGCCTGGGCAACAAAGTGAGACTCAATCTCAAAAAAAAAAGGACGGGCCCAGGCACAGTGTCTCATGCCCGTAATCTCAGCACTTTGGGAGGCCAATGCTGGCAGATCACCTGAGGTCCGGAGTTTGAGACCATCCTGGCCAACATGGTGAAACTCCGTCTCTACTAAAAATTTCAAAAATTAGCTGGGCATGGTGGCAGGCATGTGTAATCTCAGCTACTTGGGAGACTGAGGCAGGAGAATTGCTGGAACCTGGGAGACGGAGGTTGCAGTGAGCCGAGATTGTGCCATTGCACTCCAGCCTGGGCCAAGAACAGCGAGACTCCATCTCAAAAACAAAAAGGACAATAGTATACTGTATACTTTTTTTTTGGAGATGAAGTCTCGCTCTTTGGTCCAGGCTGGAGTGCAGTGGTGTGATCTCGGCTCACTGCAATCTCTACCTCCCAGGTTCAAGTGATTCCTCTGCCTCAGCCTCCCAAGTAGCTGGAATTACAGGCGCCCACCACCACTCCCAGCTAGTTTTTGTATTTTTAGTAGAGACGGGGTTTCACCATGTTGGCCAAGCTGGTCTCGAACTCCTGACCTCAGGTGATCCACCCGCCTTGGCCTCCCAAAGTGCTGGCATTACAGGTGTGAGCCTCCACCCCCAGCCCAATAGTATACTTTCTTTTAGATTTTTTGAAGTATTGAAATGCTTTTCAAAAGAGGTAATACAGGTTATCTTGAGAGAGGGAAACGTGGTAAGGGACAGGAAAAGAGGGAGACTTTCACTATATATGCTTTTATCCTTATCAATTTTGAACCATGTGACTCTATTGCCTAATTCTAAATTTTTTTTTTTTGAGACAGAGTCTCCCTGTCGCCCAGGCTGGAGTGCAGTAGCTGGATCTTGGCTCACTGCAAGCTCCACCTCCCGGGTTTACGCCATTCTCCTGCCTCAGCCTCCCAAGTAGCTGGGACTACAGGCGCCTGCCACCTCGCCCGGCTAGTTTTTTGTAGTTTTTAGTAGAGACGGGGTTTCACTGTGTTAGCCAGGATGGTCTCGATCTCCTGACCTCATGATCCGCCCGTCTTGGCCTCCCAAAGTGCTGGGATTACAGGCTTGAGCCACCGTGCCCGGCCTAAATTTTTTTTAAAAAGAAAAGAGCTTATAGTTATTTGCTTCCTTTGTGCATAACCAAGAGTCTGGGACTATGGGTTATAAATTACTAATGTAGATACAATTCTGTTTCTTGTTTTTTTTTTTGAGACGGAGTCTCGCTCTGTCGCCCAGGCTGGAGTGCAGTGGCCGGATCTCAGCTCACTGCAAGCTCCATCTTCCGGGTTCATGCCATCCTCCTGCCTCAGCCTCCTGAGTAACTGGAACTACAGGCACCCGCCACCGCGCCCGGCTAATTTTTTTTGTATTTTTAGTGGAGACGGGGTTTCACTGTGGTCTTGATCTCCTGACCTTGTGATCCGCCCACTTTGGCCTCCCAAAGTGCTGGGATTATAGGCGTGAGCCACCACGTGCGGCCTTTTTTTTTTTTTTTGAGACAGAGTTTCACTCTTGTTGCCCAGGCTGGAGTGCAATGGCTGATCTTGGCTCACGGCAACTTCCACCTCCCGGGTTCAAGTGACTCTCCTGCCTCAGCCTCCCGAGTAGCTGGGATTACAGGCATGTGTCAGCATGCCCAGCTAATTTTGTATTTTTAGTAGAGATGAGGTTTCTCCATGTTGGTCAGGCTGGTCTTGAACTCCCGACCTCAGGTGATCCACCTGCCTCGGCCTCCCAAAGTGCTGGGATTACAGGTGTGAGCCACTGCACCCGGCCCAATTCTATTTCTTATACCTGGATGTTATATTATCCTGTGCACACCCAGTTATCAAGGGTAGGAATTTCCATTTAAGCTCTATCTGATTTTGAATTGTTTATAGGTATTGCTTGCCTAAGTAAGTGGAAATAATGTAGATGGAAAATGAAAAGTCAGTTCTCGAATTATTTCTGTTGCTGGTTATGTTTAAATTTTACATAGGTCTTTTTTATACATGAGAAGTAGAAACCAATTTTAAAAGATTAGAGCTCTTAAAATGTCATTCATTATGTGCTTTTAAATATAGGTTCTGTCATATGTTGAAGAATCCATACACCATTAAGAAACAGCCTCTGCATCAATTTGTACAAAGGCCACTTTTCCCACTACCTGCAGCCTTTTGTAACCCAGGTAAAATTTCACCTCTTTTAAAGCAATTGTGTTTCAGAAACTAATGGAACTGTGTTAGGATTTTGTGGATCATAAAAGATGAGAATTTGTATATTTTCTATTTAGAAGCCTATAGAAAGAATGTAGGAAAAAAAGCCATATTTTTCTTATAGGCTTCTAAGTAGAAAATTTATTTGCAAGGACATTGTCCAATAGATCTATGAAATCTCAGTATCTTGTATAACATTTCCGCTGCAACACAAGAGTTGCTCAACAAATGATTTCCAAAATGAAAATATTGTAGAAGTTAAAATCTGACTGGGTGTGGTGGCTTATGCCTGTAATCCCAGTTCTTTGAAAGACTGAGGCAGGTTGATTGCTTGAGCCCAGGAGTTTGAGACCAGCCTGGGCAATACAGCGAAACCCCATCTCTACAAAAAATACAAAAAATTAGCTGGGCATGGTGGCGCATACCTGTAGTCCCAGCTGCTTGGGAGGCTGAGGTGGGAGAATCCCTTTAGCCCAGGAGTTCAAGCTTGCAGTGAGCCATGATCACACCACTGTGCTCCAGACTGGGTGACAGAGTGGGACCCTGTCTCAAAAAGAAGTTTCAAATGGGGATTGTGTTTCAAAGAATTGTATGTATTTCAAGCTAGTGCTTTACTTTTTTTGGATAAGAATACCCTTAAAATCAGTAAATTTCTGGCTTTTATCCAGACCTTAGAACACTACATTCAAAAAAAAGAAATAAAAACTTTTTTGTTAAAATTAATTACTATGGTTTTGTTAATAATCTTGATTGTTAACAAGATACATACTTGATTTTCTTTAATTTGGGAAATAGATATGATTTGAAAATAATTTGAAGTGTGATGACCATAATGTAGAGTTAGGGAAGTTTTAAGGGGAGAGGGTATGTGTGTCTGCATGTGTGCATGTATGTAAATGTATACCTATATGTGTTATGGAGCTGTAAGCATATAAATTCAGCCTCTCCTTTCGATTGCTAGCTTGAACACATTCCGGTGGCCATACTCTGGCTGATTCTGGCTAAGGGCATGACTTAAATCAGGGTAGACCTTACCCCTTCAGTAGCCAGGGGCCAGAAGAGGAACACTTTCCTGCAGACTTGCCTGACTGCTTGAATCACAGAATAGTTTAGATATAAATATTGTAAATACTGAGTAACTCAGCTGATTAAACCACTTTAATTGGACTTCTAAACTTTGTAGGACTGAAATATGTCGTCATATAGGCTTTTCAAATAGGAAACCCATTAATTTTAGTCATTGATATTGACTTTAAGCATCACTAATCTGTATTTTGGGGGAGTTTACGTCTACCTCCTTAGGTACCTATTAGTACCAAGCATAATAGGAAGAAATAGGCTGGCGTGGTGACTCATGCCTGTAATCCCAACACTTTGAGAGGCTGAGGTGGACAGATCCCTTGAGCCCAAGAAGTTCGAGATCAGCCTCAGCAACATGGTCAAACCCTGTCTTTACAAAAAAATACAGAAATTATCTGGGCACAGTGGTGCGTGCCTTTTTTGTCAAAAGTAAAAAGTTCTGTGATTATGTCATTCATCTTCATACTTTCTACTTTAGACAGTATAGAGTACATGCTCTTAAGTGACTTTTTTTTTTTTTTTTTTGCATTTGTAGTTGTTACCCTCAAGGATTTCTAAAAATTTTGCTTTCTGCAGGTATAGTTTTTCTCAAATTGACTGCGTAGAATAAAGCCAGATTTTTTTTTTTTTTTTATCTTGGCTCACTGCATCCTCTAATGCCTGGGCTCAAGCAATCCTCTTGCCTCAGCCTCCCATATAGCTGGGATTACAGGCACATGCCACCACAACTTGTAGTTTTTTGTAGAGACAGGATCTGTGTTGCCCAGACTGGTCTCGAACTTCTGCCCTCAAGTGATCCTCCTGCCTTGGCCTCCCAGAGTGCTGGGATTATAGGTGTGAGCTGATGTACCCAGCCAAAGCCAGATTTAATTCTTCAAATATTAGTAGAGTACTGTGTGCAGATTTTGGTTAGCAATAAATTATTAATACAAGCTGCAAGAAATGATTGGTTCAGAACCAGAGTTAGAAGATTATTTACAGAAAGTGTTGGCAGCCCTTTCTTTAATGTGTCATTGAAAAATCATTCCCTTATAGATTTTCAGAAGAATGTCTTACTAGAAATATACATATTTTAAAGAAGTACTTGGACATTGCGGTTATTTTTTCATTTTTTAGGAATTGTCTGGTTGTCTGATTAGGACAATGACTTAAGCAAAATGTATGGGAGTTCACCTTTAATTTTTTTCTTTATCCACAAAATGGTTTTACTTCAGCTAGCTGGAACTGCATGGCAAAGTGCAAAAATGACTCTCAGTTGTCAAATTAGAACCTTTTCCCTAATGGCTAAGAAAAGCATTTTTGTACCAACCATATGTTTTGCCAAATTTAAACTCTTTCAAATTTAAAATAAAACTGTTGCTTTTTGGTATTTTATTCTCTCTCCTAAAATAGGTGATATGAAAATTAGAACAGGAAGACTGACCTTAAATGTATTTTCCTATTATGCTTGGCAATGTTAGATAAGGATTAGCAATATGTACGGTGGCTAAGAAAGTCAGCACCTACAAGATTGTCCAGCTTTGTATCCTGGCTCTGTTACTTAGTAGCTGAGTGACCTTTAGTCTCCTTATTATAAAACAAGATAAAAATAGTACCTCATTGAAAGGATGTAAGGATTAAATGATATAATACATGTAAAGTGCTTAGCACCCTGCCCAGCACATGATAGGCACTGAATAATTTTTTTTTTTTTTTTAAGACAGAGTCTCACTATGTCTCACAGGCTGGAGTGTGTGGTGACTGGATCATGGCTCATTGCAACTTCCCCCTCCCGGGTTCAAGTGTTTCTCCTACCTCAGCCTTCTGGGTAGCTGGGATTACAGGCACACATCACCACGCCCGGCTAATTTTTGTATTTTTAGTAGAGACAGGGTTTTACCATGTTGACCAGGCTGTTCTCGAACTCCTGACCTCAGGTGATCTGCCTGTCTTGGCCTCCCAAAGTGCTGGGATTACAGGCCTGAGCCACCGCACCCAGGCACTGAATAAATTTTAATTGTTATATACGATTGTCAATCTATTTAAATATACTGCTGTAAGACGGAGGATTTATTTTTACTCAGAAGGTTCATTTTCTTTTTTTTTTTTTTTTTCTGAGATGGAGTCTCACTCTGTTACCCAGGCTGGAGTATAATGGCGCAATCTCAGTTCACTGCAAACCTCCACCTCCCAGGTTCAAGTGATTCTCCTGCCTCAGCCTCCCAAGTAGCTGGGACTACAGGCACACGCTCCCATGCCTGGCTAACGTTTGTATTTATAGTAGAGACGGGTTTTCACCATGTTGGCCAGGCTGGTTTTAAACTCCTGACCTTGTGATCCACCTGCCTTGACTTCCCAGAGTGCTGAGATTACAGGCATGAGCCACCATGCGCGGCCTTTTTTTTTGTTTTTTTTTTTTTTGAGATGGAGTTTCGCTCTTTTTGCCCAGGCTGGAGTGCAATGGTGCGATCCCAGTTAACTGCAACCTCTGCCTCCCAGGTTCAAGTGATTCTCCTGCCTCAGCCTCCTGAGTAGCTAGGATTACAGGCGCTCGCCACCACACCCGGTTAATTTTGTATTTTTAGTAGAGATGGGGTTTCACCATGTTGGCCAGGCTGGTCTCGAACTCCTGACTTCGTGATCCAGCCGCCTTGGTCTCCCAAAGTGCTGGGATTCCAGGCATGAGCCACTGCCCCCTGCCAGAAGGTTCATTTTCATAATGAATAATCAGGTCTGTTTAATAGTTTTAAAACGATTAAAACTATTAAAACGCCAATACTGTCCTTTCGTCCTGCAAGTTGTTGTCATAATAGCAAGATAGGAAATTAAAGATTGTGTTATCTCTTTATTGCTTTAGTGAATCAATTCTCAATCTAATCGTGGTCCTAGAAAAAAGATATTATAAGAAAAGAGTCGGCGGGCACAGTGGCTCATGCCTGTAATCCCAGCATTTTGGGAGGCCAAGGCGGGTGGATCACCTGAGGTCAGGAGTTTGAGATTAGCCTGGCCAACATGGTGAAACCTCGTCTCTATTAAAAATACAAAACTTAGCCGGGCATGGTGGTACATGCTGGTAATCTCAGCTACTCAGGAGGCTGAGGCAGGAGACTTGCTTGAACCCGGGAGGCAGAGGTTGCAGTGAGCTGAGATCACTGCACTGCACTCCAGCCTGGGTGACAAAGTGAGACTCCATCTCAAAAAAAGAAGAGTCTGTAAAGATATCTTTTAGGCCAGGCACAGTGGCTCACGCCTTTATTCCTAGCACTTTGGGAGGCCGAGGTGGGTGAATCACTTGAGGCCAGGAGTTCGAGACCAGCCTGGCCAACATGGTAAAACCCCAGCTCTACAAAAAATGAACAAAAACTGGCTGGCTGTGGTGGTGCATACCTATAGTTCCAGCTACTTGGGAAGCTGAGGCATGAGAATTGCTTGAATCCGGAAGGCAGAGGTTGTAGTGAGCCAAGATTGTGCCACTGCAGTCTCGCTTGGGTACAATGTGAGACCTTGTTTCGAAACAAAAAAGATATATTTTAAATATCCCAGGAAGTAATTTGCATAGATTCTTGCTTATGTTGTGTTTTGTTATGTTACTTACTATGCCTCCGGGTCTTCATTTGTAAAATGGGAATAAGAGTTCCTTCTTTACAGGGTTGTTAAAGGCATAAATGCATTTAAAGCACTTGGGCCAGGCACGGTGGCTCACGCCTGTAATCCCAACACTTTGGGAGGCTGAGGTAGGTGGATCACTCGAGGTGAGGAGTTTGAGACCAGCCTGGCCAACATGGTGAAACCCAGTTTAAAAAAAAAGAATTGCCAGGCGCGGTGGCTCACGCCTGTAATCCCAGCACTTTGGGAGGCCGAGGCGGGCGGATCACAAGGTCAGGAGATCGAGACCACGGTGAAACCCCATCTCTACTGAAAATACAAAAAATTAGCTGGGCACGGTGGCGGGCGCCTGTAGTCCAGCTACTGAGGAGGCTGAGGCAGGAGAATGGCGTAAACCCGGGCGGCGGAGCTTGCAGTGACCTGAGATCCAGCCACTGCATTCCAGCCTGGGTGACAGAGCAAGACTCCGTCTCAAAAAAAAAAAAAAAAATAAAAATAAAAAATTAGGCCACGCACAGTAGCTTACGCCTGTGATCTCAGCACTTTGGGAGGCTGAGGCGGGTGGATCACCTGAGGTCAGGAGTTCGAGACCAGCTGGGCCAACATGGTGAAACCCTGTCTCTACTAAAAAATACAAAAATTAGCAAATTAGCCGGGCATGGTGGTTTGTGCCTGTAATCCCAGCTACTCAAGAGGCTGAGGCAGGAGAATCAGCTGAACCTTGGGGGTTGGGGGTTGCAGTGAGCCACGATGTGCCACTCCATTCCAGCCTGGGCGAAAGAGCAAAACTCTGTCTCAAAAAAAAAAAAAAAAATTAATTAAAAATAAATAAATAAAGCACTTGGCCCCAGAGCTGGACATGATGGCTTACACCTGTAATGTCAGCACTTTATTTTGGGAGACCAAGGTGGGACAATCACTTGAGGCCAGGAGTTTGAGACCAGCCTGAGCAACATTGGGAGACTCCACCTCCACAAAAAAAAATTTTTAAAAAGCCTTTGGCCGGGCACGGTGACTCACCTCTGTAATCCCAGCACTTTGGGAGGCTGAGGCGGGTGGATCACAAGGTCAGGAGCTCGAGACCATCCTGGCTAACGTGGTGAAACCCCATCTCTACTAAAAATACAAAAAAAATTAGCCAGGCGTAGTGGTGGGCGCCTGTAGTTCCAGCTACTCGGGAGGCTGAGGCAGGAGAATGGCGTGAACCTGGGAGGTGGAACTTGTAGTGAGCCGAGATCATGCACTCCAGCCTGGGCGACAGAGTGAGACTCCACCTCAAAAAAAGAAAAAAACAAAGAAAACCGCCTTTGACTCTGAATTTGGCATATAATAAGCACACAATAAATATTTATTATTAATATTATAAATTGCTAACTTTATTGTCTTTAAAATAATGGTGGCACTTTGGAAAGAAGAGAATGTAGCATTTTACTGTATTAATGTCAGCAGTAAGTGGTCTATGGTTATGATAGCCATTAGTACAAAGTCACCAAATAGAATATGTATAGGACTCCTGAATTATGAATATATATAAGACTTAAGTGTAGACTATTTCTGGAATCTGTTTCATTACCTAACTATTTAAATAATCAGAGTATTGGCTGGGCACAGCGCTCACGCTCTAATCCCAACACTTTGGAAGGCTGAGGTGGGAGGATCGTTTGAGTCCAGGAATTTCTTGAACTCCTGACCTCGTGATCCACCCGCCTCGGCCTCCCAATGTGCTGGGATTACAGATGTGAGCCACTGTGCCCGGCTATATATTAATATATTTCCTTCTTATCTTTATAAATGCTTTGTCAGGGCAATAAAGTCTTGGGTTTTTCCCGAGTTTTTCTTATTTCTTCTGGTTCTGTGCAAATGAGCACGTCCTAGTCTATAAACTTGTTAACTGTTTTTTTCTAGAATAACATTTTCTTTTTCCTTTTTTTAGTGAGATACATGTTTATTCAAACACAGGATACTCCAAATCCCAACAGCTTAAAGTTTATACCAGGAAAACCAGTTCTTGAGACAAGGACCATGGATTTTCCCACCCCAGCTGCAGCATTTCGCTCCCCTCTGGCTAGGTATATTACTGTTTTCATTGCTTTTACCAAGAAACACAAATACCTGACTTTGGGGTTAAGACAACTTTATTTAACTATTGCATTTCTGTGTGCACCGCATTCTTTTTTAAGTGTAGAGAATAATTTCTTTTCAGATGAGAGATTAAAAAATAATAATAATAAGGCATGTTGCAGTGGCTCACACCTGTAATCCAAACACTTTGGGAGGCCGAAGTGGGAGGATTGCTTGAGTCCGGGAGTTGGAGACCAGCTGGGGCAACATAGAAAGACTCCATCTCTACCACACACACATACACACACACACACTCACACACACAGAGATCCCTTCTCTACCACACACAGACACACACACACAAATTTAGCTGGGTGTGATGGTGTGTACCTCTTGTCTTAGCTACGCGGGAGGCTGAGATGGGAGGATTGTTTGAGCCTGGGAAGTTGAGGCTGCAGTGAGCCATAATGGTGCCACTATACTCCAGCCTGGGCAACAGAGTAAGACCCTGTCTCAAAAAAACCCAAAAATGTTGAGGAGGCTGAGGAGGTGGGGATCACTTGAGCTCAGGAGTTTGAGACCAGCCTGGGCAACATGGTGAAACCCTGTCTACAAAAAGTACAAAAATTAGCCAAGTGTGATGATACGTGTCTGTAGTCCTAGCTACTAGGGAGACCGAGGTGGGAGGATCGCTTAAACCCAGGAGGTTAAGGAAACTATGAGCTGTGATGCCATGATTGTGCCACTACATTCCAGCCTAGGCATGAGAGTGAGACCCTGTCTCAGAAAAGAAAAATGAGAGTTGATATTAAAAAAATTTTCTCCTGAAGAGCGATATATTTGAGAGACCTATAGCATGAATAAATAAAAACTTATGTTTTTACTTAAGAAAAAATATTCATCAAATTGATAAATATAGTAAATTTCCATTTCAGCTCTTAAAAATCTGATTTTTAAGAATAATGAGAACTTGCTTATTTTATTCATAAGGGTAGTTGAATTTGTAGTTCTTTCTAGATGGAGTAATTTCTAAAATACTCTATTCAGAACTATAAATGAAAACTAGTCAGTAGGGACAGTTTTAAAATTCACCAGATAAAGGCATGTTTAAACCATAAGCCCCCCCTTATCTGTGGTTTCACTTTCCCCGGTTTCAGTTACCCAAGATCAGCCGTAGTCTAAAAGTATTAAATGGAAAATTCCAGAAATAAACAATTCATCAGTTTTAAATTGTGCTGCTTTTCTGAGTAGCATGGTGAAATCTTGCTCTGTCCTCCCTAGGGCATAAATTGTCCCTTTTCCAGTGTATCCATGTCATATACACTATCTGTCTGCCTGTGCCCTCCCCTCTGTTGACCCCCCCCCGCCCTTGCCACATCATTGGTCACTTAGTAGCCATCTCTTAAAGTAGTGATGCTGGCATATTGTTATAATTGTTCTATTTTATTATCAGTGGTTAATGTCTTACTGTGCCTAATTTATAAATTAAACTTTATCATAGATATATATGTATAGGAAAAAAACATAGTACTTGCAGGGTTCAATACTATGTGTAGTTTCAGGGATCCACTGGGGGCATTGGAATGGATCCCCTGGGGATAAGGGGGGACTACTGGATGTTAGAGATGATAAAGCACAGGGCCGGGCGCCGGGGCTCACGCCTGTAATCCCAGCACTTTGGGAGACTGAGGTGGGCGGATCACGAGGTCAGGAGATCGAGACCATCCTGGCTAACACAGTGAAACTCCATCTCTACTAAAAATATCAAAAATTAGCTGGGTGTGGTGGCAGGCATCTGTAGTCCCAGCTACTCAGGAGACTGAGGCAGGAGAATGGCGTGAACCCGGGAGGTGGAGCTTGCAGTGAGCTGAGATTGCGCCGCTGTACTCCAGCCTGGGCCACGGAGTGAGACTCTGTCTCAAAAAAAAAAAAAAGCACAAATGATAAAATTGTTGAGATGAACCTCTTTTTAACTGATAGTTAGAGAAGTTAATAATAAAGAATATTAGAGTCAGTCAGCATCAGTTGAAATTTTTGGGAACCGAAGCCTCAATCTGATTGCCAGGGATACTCGGAAAACAGAGCTTAGGTAACTATTTCTATACATACAGCCATTTTATATGTCTCATTTAAGGAACCTAGGGATTTGCTAAGCTCTGGAATTGTTTTTAAAATTTATAATTAATAAGTACTTTTTTTTTTACTTAAACATATCACTTCTCAGAATATACCTTAGAGTGTTTGTTTTTCTTATTTTATTTTTTACTTTTTATTTATTTATTTACTGAGATAAGGTTTCACTTTTGTCGCCCAGGCTGGAGTGTGATGGCGTGATCTTGGCTCACTGCAACCTCCACCTCCTGGGTTCAAGCTATTCTCCTGCCGTAGCCTCCTAAGTAATTGGGACTATAGGTACATGCCACCTTACCTGGCTAAATTTGGTATTTTTTGTAGAGACTAGGTCTCATCATGTTGCCCAGGCTGGTCTCAGACTCCTGAGCTCAAGTGATCTGTCCTTTCAAAGTACTGGAATTACAGGCTGTTTTTAGTACTTTTTTGATATAAGTCACAGTAAAAAGTGTTTTACATTATGTGTGTGTATGTGTGAGATACAAGTGTTTGATGGGATAGTTTTCACTCTTTTCACCCTTACAATAGATAATAGATTCTTAAATTTCCTTTCTTCATCTCTTTCTGTTGTTCTGTTTTATTTTATTAAATAAAACCATAATACTACACATATGATTCCACAACTCACTACTGGGTTTTAAAAACCCTACCCTAGAAGTTACTTGCACATGTGCCCAAGATATGTGCAGGGATGTATTCACTGTCATAGAAAGACATATGAGACATACAAGTGAAAAAAGCAACTTGCAGAACAGTGAGTCCAATATGATATTATGTATATGAAAGCAAAAACCACAGAATAACAAATGCACTGACAAAAAGATCTGGAAGAATACACACGAAACTGATAACAGAATTTGGTAAGGGTGGTCAAGGGGCATTTAAATTTTATTGTTTGAAACATTTACATCAAGGATGAGTTCATATTTTGTATTAAAAATGTAAAAGTAAAAAAGCCCCAATTAATTCAGTTATAGATTAGTTAGAGATTATTTCTGTCAGATGTTCAGTTGGCAAAATCTCTTTTCAAGATAGTCTTTTGAAAATAGTCTGTTTAGGCTGGGTGTGCTGGCTCATGCCTGTAATCCCAGCACTTTGGGAGGCCGAGGTGGGTAGATCACCTGGGGTCAGGAGTTCAAGACTAGCCTGGCCAATATGGTGAAACTCTGTCTCTACTAAAAATACAAAAATTAGCCCGGTGTGGTGGCAGGCGCCTGTAATCCCAGCTACTTGGGAGACTGAGTAGGAAAATCACTTGAACCCGAGAGGCAGAGGTTGCAATGAGCCACAGTCTTAACCACTGCATTCCAGTCTGGGTGACAGAGGGTGACTCCGTCTCAAAAGAGAGAAAAAAAAAAAAAGAAAATAGTCTGTTTAGTGCTTGTACAGTGCCTGGCACTTAGTAGGTGTCAAATATTTGTTGAATGAATGATGGATAGTATAGATATAGCGGTCTATTCATTCACCAGGTGATGGACATTTCCATATTTTTCTGTATGTGTGGCTATTTTAAGCTGCTATAAAGATTTATGTACAAGTCTTTGTGGAGCATGTGTTTTTATTTCTTTTGCATAAATAGTGTGGGATTGCTAAATCATAGAGTAGGAATATAAAACAAACTTGGCCATGAGTTGATAATTGTTAAAGCTGCAAGGGATATGTGGAGAGTTTTTTGCTTTTCTCTACTTTTGTGTATGTTTAAACTTTTCCATAATCAAGCATAATCAATCTCTTATTTTTTCTTTTTTTGCAGGCAGTTATTTAGGATTGAAGGAGTAAAAAGTGTCTTCTTTGGACCAGATTTCATCACTGTCACAAAGGTAAACATAGGATTATATAAAATAAGACTCGAAATACTTTTCATTTTTTTCTGAGTCCAATGCCTCCAACATTTCCATTTTTCTGTTCTTTAATTTTAATTTTTTTTTTTTTGAGACAGGGTCTTACTCTCTAGCCCTCTAAATGTCAGAAAAATCAAGCGAAATATGCTATGTTTTTCTTTTTCTTTCTTTTTTTTTTGAGACGAAGTCTCGCTCTTGTCCCCTAGGCTGCAGTGCAATGGTGCTATCTTGGCTCACTGCCACCTCTGCCTCCCGGATTCAAGTGATTCTCCTGCCTTGGCCCCCTGCCACCCCCAGTAGCTGGGATTGCAGGCATCTGCCACCATGCCCTGCTAATTTTTGTATTTTTGGTAGAGACAGGGTTTCACTGTGTTGGCCAGCCTGGTCTAGAACTCCTCACCTCAGGTGATCACCCGCCTCAACCTCCAAAGTGCTGGGATTACAGGCGTGAGCCACCACGCCCAGCCAAAATATGCTGTTTTTCAACAGTCAAGGCGGCATCTGCTAGAAAGGCCTGTTCCATTTTTTATGTCTACTAGATTAATGGGACATGAACTATTTAAATTTGAACTATGTATCCTTTTAAATCTGTTGATTGACATATATCCACTTAACTTAAATCACTTGCCTGATAGTGTGTGAAAATCGCAAGTATTTATTAAACTCCCCTTAAGCAATTTGAAAGGATTAGTCTGAGCTCTTTATGTCCTTAAAAGTGCATATACTGGGAGCCAGGCGCGGTGGCTTATACCTGTAATCCCAGCACTTTGGGAGGCTGAGGCGGGCGGATCACGAGGTCAGGAGATCAAAACCATTCTGGCTAACACAGTGAAACCCCTTCTATACTAAAAATACAAAAAAAATTAGCCGGGCGTGGTGGCGGGTGCCTGTAGCCCCAGCTACTTAGGAGGCTGAGGTAGGAGAATGGTGTGAATCCGGGAAGCCGAGTTTGCAGTGAGCCGAGATCGGGCCATTGCACTCCAGCCTGAGTGACAGAGTGAGACTCTGTTTCAAAAAAGAAATAAAAAAAAAAAAAAAAGTGGACGTACTGGGTTAGTGACATGTTAAACCTAGTCATCTAGTCCAGTATTCTCTTGTAGCTATTTGTTTATTTAGAGACAAAGTCTCACTCCGTCACCCAGGTCAGAGTGCAGTGGCATGATCTAGGCAAACTGCAGCCTCAGCCTCTTGAGCTTAAGCAATCCTCTCACCTCAGCCTCCCTGGTAGCTGGGACTATACGTGCATACCACCATGTCCAGTCCCCCATTCTTCAGTTTTCTTTCTTCCATATTTTTTAAGGGGAAGAAAGGATTAGCATTTATTTAATATATTCAATGTCAGATATGGCACTAGTACTTTATATATGTTATCTAATTCTTACAACTAGTTATTTTATAAGTGGGAAATTATTTTTTATTATTTTTTATTTTTTGAGATGGAGTCTCGCTCTGTCACCCAGGCTGGAGTGCAGTGGCTGGATCTCAGCTTACTGCAAGCGCCGCCTCCTGGGTTCACGCCATTCTCCTGCCTCAGCCTCCCGAGTATCTGGGACTACAGGCGCCCTCCACCTTGCCCAGCTAGTTTTTTTGTATTTTTTAGTAGAGACGGGGTTTCACCATGTTAGCCAGCATGGTCTCGATCTCCTGACCTCGTGATCCGCCCGTCTCGGCCTCCCAAAGTGCTGGGATTACAGACTTGAGCCACCGCGCCCGGCATGAGTGGGAAATTATATATTTAGTTTTAAAAGTTATTTAGTTCTTTTACATATAGCCTATGCTATATAAAATTTTTTATAGGTAAAAATGTGATTATATCTTCAAGGGTTTTTTTTTGTTTGTTTGTTTTTGTTTTTGTTTTTTTTACTTTTCCTATTTTTCTTGATTAGATTTAGTAAGTCATGTTTTAGCTCTCTTACCTTCATTATTTAGTTACCCTATTTGAAATTGCCCTAGCTCTGCAATTTTTTCTTAAGTGAAATGACATAATCAATAGATAATATCTCAAGTTAGGGTATATGTTGATACTTATATATGTATGTGTGTGTGTATCTATCTATCTACACATCCATATAGATGGGATCTTGCTCTGTTTTCCAGGCTAGAATATAGTGGTGCGATCATGGGTCACTGCAACCACTAACTCCCAGCTTCAAGCAATCCTCCCAGCTCAGCTTCCCGAGTAGCTGGGACTATAGGTGCATGCCACCATGCCCAGCTAATTTTCTTTTCTTTTTTTTTTTTTTTTTAATTGTAGAAACAGTGTCCTCCTATATTGCCCAGGCTGGTCTCGAACTCCTGGGCTCATGCAATCCTCCTGTCTCAGCCTCCCAAAATGTTGGGATTATAGGTGTGAGCCACCACGTCTGCCCACGTTGGTATTTAATAGACGGAATACTGGATTTGTTTTGTTTTCTTTCAGTAACCTTTCTCATCATGGACTGTCACATTTTACTGAATGTCTTCAGCAATCACCTGTTTCTACTTCTGATTTCCAGTTGATAATTAGATTTCTTTATGCATCATTTGTGTTTTTTTTTCTAAATATATATGTAAATTTGCAGCTTACATGCTGCCTTTTTTTCCTCATTCAGACAACTTTAGGATTTTTAAAATTTTTATTACCAATATTTTCCTATTTAGTAGTCTGCTATTTATTGAAGATGTGAGGTAACACTCTGATTTATTTTCCAAATGATTTATTACCTAGAACTAGTTTCCATTCCCAATCACTAAGATATTTCACTAGTTTTACTTTTATAACCTTAGCAGTCCCCATTTATGTCACCTTTTATGTACTATCTCTATATTGTTTCTTTTTTCTTTTGAGATGGAGTCTCACTCTGTCACCCAGGCTGGAGGGCAGTGGTGCGATCTCAGCTCACTGCAACCTCTGGCTCCCAGGTTCAAGCGATTCTCCTTCCTCAACCTCCTGAGTAGCTGGGATTACAGGCCTCTGCCACCACGCCTGGCTAATTTTTGTATTATTAGTAGAGACGGGGTTTCGCCATGTTGGCCAGGCTGGTCTCAAACTCCTGACCTCGGGCGATCCACCTGCCTCAGCCTCCCAAAGTGCTGGGATTACAGGTGTGAGCCACCACGCCCAGCTGAATTTCTTTCATACCCTTTAAGTAATATATGTAAGTAAATTTTTTGAATAGTTGTAGACTGTTACATATACTTGGTCAAGCAATTACATCCTATTTTTTTAAGAGAATGGGTATCTCTTTATCATCCTTTTTAAAGACAGAAAGTCCATTTAATATTTTGTCTTCACATCACGAAAAATGTCTTTTAATCATTTAAATCAAATTAAAACAATGGAAGTTTGATAAGTGAATGAATTAGTTAATGAATGGGGGAATCTTTAAGATTTTATCTTCTGAAATTCATTTAAACAGGACCCTTTAAGATGTGGAGCTAATATACATTCTCCAGAAGTGGTTGCCATTGCATAGGTATAGTGTGTATATAGGAAAAGATATTTTTCTTTTCCTTTCCTTTCCTCTTTTCTTATTTTTATCTCTTTTCTTTTCCCTTTCCCTTTTCCCTTCCCCTTCCCTTTGCCCGCTTACTTGCCTTTCTTCTCCTTTCCTTTTTTCTGCTTCTTTTCTCTCTTTTTTCTTTCTTCCTTTCCATTTATTTATTATTTTTAAAAATATGAAAAGAGATGAAGTCTCACTGTGTTGCCCAGGCTAGTCTTGAACTCCTGAATTCAAGCTGTCCTCCTGCCTCAGCTTCCCAAAATGTTGGGATTAGACATGAACTATGATACCTGGCCAGGAAAAGATTCTTAAGAGGTATAAGGGGGCTGGGCGCAGTGGCTTACGTCTGTAATCCCAGCACTTTGGGAGACCGGGGTAGGTGGATCACAAGGTCAGGAGATCGAGACCATCCTGGCTAACATGGTGATACCTCATCTCTACTAAAACTACAAAAAATTAGCCAGCTGTGGTGGCACACACCTGTAATCCCAGCTACTTGGGAGGCTGAGGCAGGAGAATTGCTTGAACGCAGGAGGCAGAGGTTGCAGTGAGCCAATATCATGCCACTGCACTCCATTCAGTCTGAGCAACAGAGTGAGACTCCAACTCAAAAAAAAAAAAAAAAAGAGGTATAAGGTAGTGTTCTGTATGGGTCTCTGCCCTTGCCTGCAAATACAGCATTTTCCTTTAAATGTTTATAGGAAAATGAAGATTTAGACTGGAATTTACTGAAACCAGATATTTATGCAACAATCATGGACTTCTTTGCATCTGGCTTACCCCTAGTTACTGAGGAAACACCTTCAGGAGAAGCAGGTAACATGTTGTATTGAGTAATTAAAATTTGCCCTTTTTTTAGACTTTTCTATTTTCCTCACATTTGCCTTGATTTTAGAAGTCATAGGAACTTAGAATTCTATCATTTAATATATTAACTCTGCAGATTTATATATCATTTAGAAAACTTGTGTATAAATTATCATTACTATATAAAACCAAAATTTTCAATTATAAAAATTTTCAAACATGCAGAAAATAATATCATGCTCACCAATTTGCCCTCCACTCATATCTAACAAATGTTAATTAAGTTACAGAATGGGCTTTTGGGAAAAACAAAACAAATGTTATCTTTTGCCACAGTTGCTTTAGACTCATTTAAAATAAAATATTAAACATACAGTGTCAGATTCTAGAGCATAAAGTAAATAAAAAAAGAAGCAGCTAAAACCACTATACCCCCATCCCTTTTCCCTTTCTAGTTTCAGAGATATGTGAAACTTGGTTTGTTTTATACTATACATGTAAGTCTCTGCAGGGAATATATAGTATTAGTTTTTGTTCTTAAGTTTTAAATATCTGTTTTTTTTTTTTTTTAAGGGACAGACTCTTACTCTGTCACCGAGGTTGGAGTGCAGTGACGCGATCTCTGCTCACTGCAACCTCCACCTCCCAGGTTCAAGTGTTTCTCTTGCCTCAGTCTCCCAAGTAGCTGGGATTACAGGTGTGTACCACCACATCCAGCCAATTTTTGTATTTTTAGTAGAGGTAGTTTCATCATGTTTGTCAGGCTGGTCTTGAACTCCTGACCTCAGGTGTTCTGCCGGACTCAACCTCTCAAAATGCTGGGATTATAGGCATGAACCACTGTGCCCAACCTTAAATATCTTGTGTTATACTTTCTAATTGCCTTTTTTACTAAGTATGATATTTTTGAAATATATCCATTTCAAAAAATATAGTTCTAGTTTACTCATTGTACGTGCTGGATAGTATTTCATTATAGGAATAAGGTATAGTTAATTTGTTCCTTTATGTTCAAGTAAAGTTTTGTACTAATTTTTTATTGAAAACATTGCTATAGTGGGCATCCTTATGGAAGTCTGTTTGTGAATATGTGGAGAGCTTCTTTATTTGTTTGTTTGTTTATTTATTTTTATTTATTTTTGGAGATGGAGTCTTGCTCTGTTGCCCAGGCTGGAGTGCAGTGGCATGATCTCAGCTCACTACAACCTCTGCCTCCCGGGTTCAAGCGATTCTCCTGCCTCAGCCTCCCAAGTAGCTGGTATTACAGGCGCCCACCACTATGTCTGGCTAATTTTTGTATTTTTAGTAGAGACAGAGTTTCACCATGTTGGCCAGGCTGGTCTCGAACTCTGGACCTCGTAATTCACCTGCCTCGGCCTCCCAAAGTGCTGGGATTACAGGCATGAGCCACTGCACCTAGCCTTATTTTTATTTATTTTTGAGACAGAGTCTTTCTCTGTCATCCAGACTGGAGTGCAGTGGCATGATCTCAGCTCATTGCAGCCTCCGCGTCCCAGGTTCAAGCGATTCTCCTGCCTTAGCCTCCTGAGTGTCTGGGATTACAGGCATGCACCTTCACGCCCAGCTAATTTTTGTATTTTTAGTAGAGATGGGGTTTTGCCACGTTGGCCAGGCTGATCCCAAACTCCTGACCTCAGGTGGATCCACCCGCCTTGACCTTCCAAAGTACTGGGATTACAGGCATGAGCCACCGTGCCTGGCCGAGAGCTTCTTTAGGCTATGTTCCTAAAAGTGGAATTGCTATATCATAAGTTGATCTAATTAAGTGCACATTAGCAGTATATTGTAAGAATTTCAATGTTCTTACAGCTTTTATCTTTGTCATCATTTAGTGTCTCTTTTTCTTTTTCTTTCTTTTTTTTAACCTGTATGTTGGGTATACAATGGTACCTTGTTTTTGTTGTTGTTGTTGTTGTTGTTGTTGTTTTTGAGATGGAGTTTCACTCTTGTTGCCCAGGCTGGAGTGCTGCAATGGCGTGATCTCGGCTCACCACAACCTCCACTGCCCGGGTTCAAGTGATTCTCCTGCCTCAGCCTCCCGAATAGCTGGGATTACAGGTACCTGCCGCCATGCGCAACTAATTTTTCTATTTTTAGCAGAGACGGGGTTTCACCATGTTGGCCAGGCTGGTCTCGAACTCCTGACCTTGTGATCCATTTGCCTCAGCCTCCCAAAGTGCTGGGATTACAGGCATGAGCCACTGCGCCTAGCCAGTATCTTGTTTTAATTGCATTTTCTTGATTAATACTGAGTGTGAAGAGTTTCATATGTTTATTGGCCATTTACTTTTCTTGTCAGTAAATTTTCTATTTTTATCTTTTCTACTTAAAATTGAGTCACGTGTCTTTTTATTTTTTGGAGACAGTGACCTGCTGTGTCACCCAAGGTGGAGTGCAGTGGCATGATCGTGGCTCACTACATCCTCAGCTTCCCAGGCTTAAGCAATCCTCCTGCCTCCATCTTCCAAGTAGCTGGGATTATAGGCTCCTGCCACCATGCCTGTTTAATGTTTTTATTTTTAAAATTTTTTGGCCAGGCATGGTGGCTCACGTCTGTAATCGCAGCACTTTGGGAGGCCGAGGTGGGTGGATCTTGAGGTCAGGAGTTCGAGGCAAGCTTGACCAACATGGTGAAACCCCATTTCTACTAAGAATACAAAAATTAGCCAGGCATGGTGGTGCGTGCCTGTAATCCCAGCTACTCAGGAGGCTGGGTCAGGAGAATTGCTTGAATCTGGGAGGTGGAGGTTACATTGAGCCAAGATCGTGCCACTGCACTCCAGCCTGGGAGACAGGGTGAGACTCTATCTCAAAAATAATAATAAATAAATAAATAAATAAATAAATAAATAAATAAATAAATAAAAATTTTTTGTAGAGGCCTGGCACAGTGGCTCACGCCTATAATCCCAGCACTTCGGGAGGCCAAGGTGGGCAGATCACGAGGTTAAGAGATTGAGACTATCCTAGCCAACAAGGTAAAACCCCATCTCTGCTAAAAATACAAAAATCTACTGGGCATGGTGGCGCGCTCCTGTAGTCCCAGCTACTTGGGAGGCTGAGGCAGGAGAATCGCTTGAGCTCGGGAGGCAGAGGTTGCAGTGAGCTGAGATCGCACCACTGCACTCCAGCCTGGTGACAGAGCAAGACTCCGTCCCAAAAAAAAAAAAAATTTTTTTTTTTGTAGAGATGAGATCTTGTTATGTTGCCCAGGCTGGTCTCAAATTCCTGGCCTCAAGTGATCCTCCTGCCTCAGCATTCCAAAGTACTGAGATTATAAACATGAACCACCGCCACCTGGCCCATATGTATTTTTTATATTTATTTAAGCAGGTTTTAAAAAAATATTCTGGGCTGGATACCATGCCCCACACCTGTGATCTTAGCACTTGGGGAAGTGAAGGCGGTAGATTGTGAGCTCAGAAACTTGAGACTAGCCTGGGCAATGTGGCGAAACCCTGTCTTTACAAAAAAACACAAAAATTAGCTGGGCATGGTGATGCGTGCATGTAGTCCCTCCTGCTTGACAAGCTGAGGTGGGAAGATTGCTTGAGCCCAGGAGGCTGAGGCTGCAGTGAGCCATGTTCACGCCAGTACACTCCATCTTGGTTGATAGAACTAGGCCACATCTCTTAAAAAAAAAAAAAAAAAAAAGGTCTCATTCTCTCTGTATATATATAAATATTCTGAATATTAATTCTTCGTTAGGTATTTTCTTAGCAAATGATATCTCCCTAACTGTGACTTAACTTTTCATTTTGTTTATGATGTCTTTTGTCATACAGAAAATTTTCATTTTAATGTGGTTACATTTGTTCATCTTTTTCCTTTGTGGTTTGTGCCTTTGTACCTTGTTTTAGTAAGTTATTTAGTGTAAAGCACTTGGAAGAGTGACTATACATAAAGCTCCATAAGTATTTGCTGATACTGTTGTATTTGTTGTTGATGAAGTTTTTCCTTTATCACAAAGATATTGTCATATGTGTATGTATTTTTGTTTTTTAAAGTTTTATTTTTTACACCTACATATTTAATCACTGTGGGATTTGTTTTTCTGTATAGTTTAAAATATAATTTCATCTTTTTCTACATAGCTAATCAAGTATCCCAGTCTTTCCTCATGAATTTATAATATTATACATGGGTCTTTTTCTAAGATGTTTTTTGTCCCTGTGGTCTTTTTGCCCCTCTTCCTGTTTTAATAACATACAGAATTTTAATTACAGTATCTCTGTAACAATTAGCATAGTATATAATAATATCTGGAAAAAAAAAAGTTCCTCAATTAAAAAAACTTTCTGGTGGTCTGGTCACTTTATTCTTCCTTGTAAATTTATTGATCATCTTGTAAAGTCTCTGAAAAACCATGTCAAGAGCTTGGTTGAAGTTGCATTAAATTTATAAATTAAATTTGGGAGAATTAACATTTCTTCAACATTGATATTTTTTCATCCCCAAATTTTCCCATTTACTTGAGACTTACGTTCTTTTCTTGGTATGAGCTCATGTTAGTTCTAGGGTACCATATAGGTTTTGTTGTCATAAAGGTTCTTATTTTGTTTAATAAGCACTTAGATGTACTGGTTACGATATTTGAGGCACAATTCTAAGCACTTTACAAGTATAAACTCACTTAATTCTTAAAATAACCTTATCAGATAGGAACTGTTACCACATTTAACACATGAGAAAACTGAGGCATTGAATGGTTGAGTAATTTGCTCAAGGTCACACAGGTAGTAAGTGGCAGAGATAGATACAAACTTTGGGCAATCTGGCTCGAGTGTTAATGCTTTTAACCACTCTATCATGCTGCCTGTATCTACTTTTTGGTTTTTTTTTTGAGACAGGGTCTTGCTTTGTTGCCCAGGCTGGAGAGCGATGGTGTGATTTCGGCTCACTGCAACTTCTGCCTCCCAGGTTCAAGCGATTCTCCTGCCTTAGCCTCCTGAGCAGCTGGGATTACAGACGCCCACCACCACGCCTGACTGATTTTTGTATTTTTAGCAGAGATGGGGTTTTGCCATGTTGGCCAGGCTGCTCTCGAACTCCTGACCTCAGGTGATCCGCCTGCCTTGGCCTGCCGAAGTGCTGGGATTATGGGCATGAACCACCTCACTCGGCCCTGTATGTTTTAAAATAATGTTTTCTAATTTGGGGTGTTGGAGATAGGAATACTGTTGATTTTTGTATATTGATCTTATATCTGTCAAGGTTAGCGCTCATTAGTTCTAGTAGTTCATCAATGTTAATAAGCATTGACTACAAAAACATTTATATGTGCATACACACATATATACACTGCTATAGTTTCTACGTTTGTCCCCTCCAAATCTCATGCCAAAATTCTATCCCCAGTGTTGGAGGTGGGGTCTAATGGGAGGTGAGTGAGTCATGGAGATGGATCCCTCAATAGTAGATGAATGCCCTCTGGAAAAGCCGGGGGTAGGAGGGGAGGGGAGGGGAGTGAGTTCTTACTCTCTTACTTCTTTTGAGAGCTGAGTGCTAAGAAGAGTCCCACTAACACCATCTCCTTCCTGTCTCACCATGTGATCTCTGCATGGGCCAGCTCCCCTTCTTCTTCCATGAGGGAAGCAGCTTGAGGCCCTCACCAGATGCCAAGTCTTCAACTTTTCTAGACATCAGAATCAACCAAATAAACATTTTTTTCTTTATAAATTACACAGTCTCAGGTATTCCTTTATAGCAACACTAAGTAGAATATGACATGCAGAAACATTTGTATAATTATCTTTAGGTGATACAGGTATATTTTTAGATATATATCTTAAGAGTCTTAGAGATACGCACAAGGCAACATGTAGAAACATGCTCACTGAAATATTTTTTAACTATACCAGCAGTTAAAAGGAATGAACTAGATTGGGAGATACCAACATGGAAACATAAAAAAGAAAATATTAAGTGAAAAAGGAAAATTCAAATGTATGTACATTTATAAATGTACCATTTATGAAAATTTTTAGTACTACATGAAACAGTTACAAGTGTTCTTTATGGATCCATATGTAAACCTTATAACTTTTTTAGAGTAATTTGACTATATCTACTAACATTAAAAATGCACAAGCTAGGCCAGGCGTGGTGGCTCACGCCTGTAATCCCAGCACTTTGGGAGGCCAAGGCGGGGGGATCACCTGAGGTCAGGAGTTCGAGACCAACCTGGTCAACATTGCATAACCCCCTAAAAATACAAAAAATTAGCCAGGTGTGGTAGCAGGTACCTGTAATCCTGACTACTTAGGAGGCTGAGGCAGGGGAATTGCTTGAACCTGTGAGGCCGAGGTTGCATTGAGCTGAGGTTTTGCCATTGTACTCTAGCCTGGGCAAAAAGAGTGAAACTCTGTCAAAAAAAAAAAAAAAGCACAAACCTGTTTACCCAAATATCCCACTAGTAGGAATTTATCTCATAAATATAATTGCAAAAGTACATTGATGTATCTGTGTGTGTGTGTGTGTGTGTGTGTGTGTGTATATATATATATATATATATATATATGTTTTTTTTTTTTTTTGAGGCAGAGTCTCGCTCTGTCGCCCAGGCTGGAGTGCAGTGGCCGGATCTCAGCTCACTGCAAGCTCCGCCTCCCGGGTTTACGCCATTCTCCTGCCTCAGCCTCCTGAGTAGCTGGGACTACAGGCGCCTGCTACCTCGCCCGGCTAGTTTTTTGTAGTTTTTAGTAGAGACGGGGTTTCACTGTGTTAGCCAGGATGGTCTCGATCTCCTGACCTTGTGATCCGCCCGTCTCGGCCTCCCAAAGTGCTGGGATTACAGGCTTGAGCCACCGCGCCCGGCTATATTATTATTATTATTATTATTATTTTTGAGACGGAGTTTCACTCTTTCACCCAGGCTGGAGTGCAGTGGCGTGATCTCAGCTCACTGCAACCTCCGACTCCTGGGTTAAAGTGATTCTTCTGCCTCAGCCTCTGGAGTAGCTGGAATTACAGGCACCTGCAACCACTCCCGGCTAATTTTTGTATTTTTAGTAGAGACAGGATTTCACCATGTTGGCCAGGCTGGTCTTGAACTCCTGACCTCAAGTGATCTGCCCACCTTGGCCTCCCAAAACGCTGGGATTACAGGTGTGAGCCACTGAGCCCGGCCTTTTGATATAGATTTATATAAGCAAGTATGTTGCAGGATTGTTAGAAATAGCAGCAAACTGTATAAACAACTGAAATAATGAAGACACTGGCCAAAGACAAATCTATATAAAAGTTACTGTGTACGTATTTTATTGAGGCATATTTGTATATGCCAATGGGGAATGACCTTCAAGATATTTTATATAGAAAAGAGGAAGATATAGACTAGTATGTATAGTATGATCTCATTTGTGTTAATTTATACATGTAAATGTAAACACATGCTGGGAAGATATAAACCTAACTCATGATAGTGATTGTCTATGGAAGGGATGGTGGGGAAGTGGAATTTAGGTTTACTGATCTAAGACAGTTTTAGCTTTTGTGCTTTTTTCCCCCAACAAATTTATTTATTTATTTATTTATTTATTTTTATTTATTTATTTTTTTGAGGTGGAGTCTCACTCTGTTGCCCAGGCTGGAGTGCAGTGGTGCAATCTCGGCTCACTGCAACTTCCACCTCCTGGGTTCAAGCAATTCTCCTGCCTCAGCCTTCCAGGTTGCTGGGATTACAGGCGTGTACCACCACGTCCAGCTAATTTTTGTATTTTTGGTAGAAACAGGGTTTCACCATGTTGGCCAGTCTGGTCTCGAATTCCTGACCTCAGGTGGTCTGCCTGCCTCAGCCTCCCAAAGTGCTGGGATTATAGGTGAGAACCACCTTTTGTGTGTTTTCTTTTCCTTTTAAATTTTTAAATTTTTCTTTTCTTTCTTTCTTTTCTTTTCTTTTTTTTTTTTTTTGAGATAGAGTCTTGCTCTGTCAGCCAGGCTAGAATACAGTAGTGCAATTTTAGCTCACTGCAATCTCCGCCATCTGGGTTCAAGTGATTCTCGTGTCAGCCTCCCGAGTAGCTGGGATGACAAGCACCCACCACCACACCTGGCTAATTTTTGTATTTTTAGTAAAGACAGGGTTTTGTCATATTGCCCAGGCTGGTCTGGAACTCCTGACCTCAAGTGATGTGCCTACTTTAGCCTCCCAAAGTGCTGGGATTACAGGCATAAGCCATGTTTTATTTCTTTTCTTTAAAAACTCAATATAATTTAATTTTAGGGGTTGCCAGAATCTAGTGTTTGTTATAATGTGATGTGAAATCTCTACATTTTTGGTTTTCTCAAAGGCTAACTTTTTGCTCAGAAGATGTGTAGAACATTTCAGAGGCCTGGCATGGCTCATGCCTGTAATCTCAGTACTTTGGGGGACTGAGGCAGTAGGATCATTTGAGTCCAGGGGTTGAAGATCATCTTGGGCAACTGGATTAGTCTGTTCTCACACTGCTGATAAAGACATACCTGAGACTGGGTAATTTATAAAGGAAAGAGGTTTAATTGACTCACAGTTCAGCATAGCTGGGGAGGCCTTAGGAAAGTTACAATCATGGCGGAAGGGGAAGCAAACATGTGAGTCTTCACATGGTGGCAACAAGGAGAAGTGCCAAGCAAAAGGGAGAAAAGTTCCTTATAAAACCATCAGATCTTGTGAGAACTCACTCACTATCACGAGAACAGCATGAGGGTAACCATCCCCATGATTCAATTACTTCCCACCAGCTTCCTCCCACAACACATAGGGATTATGGGAACTACAGTTCAAGATGAGATTTGACTGGGGACACAGCCAAACCATATCAGCAACATGGCGAGACCCCATCTCTACAGAAAATAAAAAAAATTGCCTGGGTGTGGTGGCTCACACTTGTGGTCCCAGACTACTTGGGAGACTGAGGCAGGACTGCTTGAGCCCAGGAGGTTGAGGCTGCAGTGAGCTGTGATCACACCATTGCACTCCTGACAGGGCAACAGAGTGAACCGCTGTCTCAAGAAGAAAAAAAAAAAAAAAAAACATTTCAGAAATTTCCGGAAGGCTTATATCTATATTTAGTATGGTTGACATTTTGAAAACCAGTAAGTTGAGAAACTGACGATGTAACTTAACTTGCAAAGTAGGTGTGCCTTTTTGTCTCAAAGTTTCCATCAAAATTCAGTTTCTTTTTTCTGATACTTTCAATCCTTGAGAACAGAGAACATCTGCATATTTACTGGCTCAAAATTTCAAACCCTAACATCATTAATATACCAAGATGTTTTAGTGTACTCATCTTTATCACCAAATGTTGAGTTGATCCGTATTCCCTAATTTTTCTTCAGAGAATCACATGAATGATTTCCTCTTCAATTTCCCAAAATATATCTCCATACCAAGTTACATGTTCTATAGTTTTATGTTTTTAATAAACCATGTAGTTAAAATCATTCTGTTTTAATACTTGTACTTGCATGGCTATAAAATTTCTACTCTTGATGTTTTTATATGTAATTATTTCTAGGATCTGAAGAAGATGATGAAGTTGTGGCAATGATTAAGGAATTGTTAGATACTAGAATACGGTATGTACTCCTCTCTCTACCCGAATTCAAGTGCTTTGGAGGCATTTTTCATTATAGCAATACAGTTTTAATTGGCCATGAGATTATAGTAGATTTTCAAAATAAGTGCAAATTAATGTAAACCGCAGCAGGTAACCATGACAATCGAATTTAAAGCCTGTATCTTCACTACATTTGCTCAAAATTTTAAAACATCCAATGTATTTAAACATATTCAATGAAGAAATGTATTCTACACAGTCTCAATTTAGATTCGATATTGTTGTAATACCAAATTTCTTAAAAAGAAAAAAAAAAGACTGAATGTTTGGAAAGGTTGTGAAGAGAGAATGAGTACCTATTTTCAGTGTATTGCCCATACAGAATAAATTTAAATGAGTGGAGAACAGCAGGCTTCTACTTTTGCTTGTAGCAGACCAATAGTCATGCTGAGAACTCCCAGAAAAGCTGGATAAAGTACAGTAAAAAGAATTTGTTTGAAAGCATTAGATAGCTGCCAAAGCAAGCAAGATTTGAGGTGCCAAGATCCTGAAGAGAAGGGAAGCTCACTGAGTTTTCCCTTCAGGCATTTGCTGTACCTTGCTACATAGCTAGGGTAGAAGAAGCTGGGCAGAGGGCAGCTGCTTAAGAATCGGAGAAACCATTGGGCTTTCAGAAAATTTGTTTAGATGGGAAGACAAAAATTAAAATTCTGGGTTATCAGTGAAATCTTGATTTCAAGGACCAAGATCCTAGAAAGTAGGGAAGTTAAGAAAAGTAAGCCTATAGTTTTTTTTTTTTTTTTTTTTTTTTTTTTTTTTTTATATACTTTAAGTTCTAGGGTACATGTGCACAACGTGCAGGTTTGTTACATATGTATACATGTGCCATGTTGATGTGCTGCACCCATTAACTCGTCATTTACATTAGGTATATCTCCTAATGCTATCCCTTCCCCTCCCCCAACCCCACAACAGGTGACGGTGTGTGATGTTCCCCTTCCTGTGTCCAAGAGTTCTCATTGTTCAATTCCCACCTATGAGTGAGAACATGCGGTGTTTGGTTTTCTGTTCTTGAGATAGTTTTTTTTATTTTAAGACGGAGTCTCGCTCTGTCGCCCAGGCTGGAGTGCAATCTCAGTTCACTACAGCCTCGCCTCCCAGGTTCAAGCAGTTCTTCACATTCAGCCTCCTGAGTAGCTGGGATTACAGGCATGTGCCACGACACCCAGCTAATTTTTGTATTTTTTGGAAGAGATGGGATTCTACCATGTTGGCCAGGCTGGTCTTGAACTCCTGACCTCGTAATCCACACACCTCAACCTCCCAAAGTGCTGGGATTACAGATGTGAGCCACAGCACCCAGCCAAGTAAGCCTATAGTTAGTAACAATGTATTCTTGAAAATTGTGGCTTGGCGCGGTGGCTCACGCCTGTAATCCCAGTACCTTGGGAGGCCAAGGCGGTTGGATCACCTAAGGTCAGGAGTTCAAGACCAGCCTGGCCAACATGTTGAAACCTCATCTCTACTAAAAATACAAAAATTAGCCAGGCGTAGTGGTGGGCATCTGTAATCCCAGCTACTATGGAGACTGAGGTAGGAGAATTGCTTGAACCCAGGAGGCGGAGGTTGTAGTCAGCCAAGATTGCGCCATTGCATTCCAGCCTGGGTGACGAGCAAAACTCCTTCTCCAAAAAAAAAAAAAAAAAAAAAAAAAAAAATTGCTAAGATAGTAGTTATTAAGTTCTTGACACAAAAAACAGGTATGTGAGGTAATGTGTAAGTTAATTAGCTTGATTTAGTCATTCCATGGTGTATACAGATTTTTTTTTGAGACGGAGTCTTGCTCTCTCACCCAGGCTGGAGTGCTGCGTGATCTCGGCTCACTGCAACCTCTGCCTCCCGGGTACAAGTGATTCTCCTGCCTCAGCCTCCTGAGTAGCTGGGATTACAGGTATGTACCACCACACCCAGCTAATTTTTGTAGTTTTAGTAGAGACAGGATTTTGCCTTGTTGTCCAGGATGGTCACGACCTCCTGACAGGTGATCTACCCTCTTCGGCATCCCAAAGTGCCGGGATTACAGGCATGGGCCACCGCACCTGGCCTGCATATTTCAAAACATCATGTTGTACGTGTAAATATCTATAATTTTTCTGAATTAAGAATAATTAATTGGAGGCTGGGCACGATGGCTCACGCCTGTTATCCCAGCACTTTGGGAGGCCGAGGCGGGTGGATCATGAGATCAGGTGATCGAGACAATCCTGGCTAACACGGTGAAACCCTGTCTCTACTAAAAATACAAGAAATTAGCTGGGCGTGGTGGTGGTTGCCTGTAGTCCCAGCTACTTGGGAGGCTGAGGCAGGAAAATGGCGTGAACCCGGGAGGCTGAGCTTGCAGTGAGCCGAGATGATGCTACTGCACACCAGTCTGGGTGACAGAGTGAGACTCCACCAAAAAAAAAAAAGAATAATTAATTGGCTGGGCAGGGTGGCTCACGCCTGTAATCCCAGCACTCTGGGAGGCTGAGGCAGGTGGATCACCTGGGGTCAGGAGTTCAAGACCAGCCTGGCCAACATGGCAAAACTGTGTCTCTACTAAAAAATACAAAAATGAGCCAGGTGTGGTGGCACACTCCTATAATCTCAGCTACTTGGGAGGCTGAGGCATGAGAATCACTTGAACCTGGGAGGTGGAGGTTGCAGTGAGCCAAGATTGTGTCACTGTACTCCAGCCTGGGTGCAATACAGTAAGACTCTGTCTCAAAACAAAACAAAACAAAACAAAAAAAACCACAGTAATAATTACTTAAAAAAGAAAGAAAAGTAATCCTAACACTCAGATTTTCCCCCTTAAGGCAATTACTTATTGTAGCAGCTATGTAAAAGAGGCTAAAGAAGTATTTAAAAAAAAAAAAAAAAGTAGCTGGAAGGCAGAGCAGACTTTTAACAGTCTTATGGTGTTGGGGTGGGGGACAAAAATTGGAGTTTAGACTCTGTCAAGGAGGTTGGGTCTTAAGAAACATCCAAGCCTGGCTGGGTGCGGTGTCTCATGCCTGTAATCTGAGCATTTTGGGAGGCCAAGGTGGGTGGATCATTTGAGGTAAGAAGTTTGAGACCAGCCTGGCCAACATGGTGAAACTCCGTCTGTGAAAAATCCCAGCTACTCCGGTAGCTGAGGCAGGAGAATCGCTTGAACTGCAAGCAAAGGCAGAGGTTGCAGTGCGTCAAGATTGCACCATTGTACTCTAGCCTGGGCAACAGAGCGAGATGGTCTCAAAAAAAAAAAATTCTAAGCTCTTGGTGATTAGGCTCCCCGGAGAATTATACTCTTGAAATGAAGGCACATCAGAGGTATAGTAAGCTTACAACACTGTAGGCCAGTATTAAGTCAGTTTAATTCCAGAGTAGATGAGCTGTTGACAAAACATAAGATGAATCCTTTTTTTAAAATTGTTGTTATTTTTTAAGAAAGGGTCTCGCTTTCCTGCCCAGGCTGGAGTGCAGTGGCATGCTCATGGCTCCTTGTATCCTCAGCTTCCCAGGCTCTAGTGATCCTCCCACCTTGGCCGTCTGAGTAGCTGGAACTACAGGTATGTGCCACCATGCCCAGCTAATTTTTGTATTTTTTGTAGAGATGGGGTTTCCCCGTGTTCCCCAGGCTGGTCTCAAACTCCTGGACTCAGGTGATCCATCTGCCTCAGCCTCCCAAAGTGCTGGGATTATAGGAGTGAGCCACAGCACCCAACCAGGTGAATCCTTTCTGATTAAATATAATCCAAGGTCACTTCAGTGTTTCATATACAGTGTTCATAATTCAGTCAGATATTGCTAGGCATATCTAGAACCTAACCAAGGGAAAGTAAAACAGATTCATAGGTAACCTAGATATTGGAGTTATCATAGTGTTTAAAAAACTACGATTAAAATAAAAAATAGCAAGATGACGAATTTCATTAGAGAACTGGAATCTATAAAAAAAAAAAAAAAAAAGAATTAGTGGTCAGGTGCAGTGGCTCACGCCTGTAATCCCAGCACTTTGGAAGGCCGAGGTGGGTGGATCACGAGGTCAGGAGATCGAGACCATCCTGGCTAACACAGTGAAACCCCGTCTCCACTAAAAATACAAAAAATTAGCCATGCGTGGTGGCGGGTGCCTGTAGTCCCAGCTACTCAGGAGGCTGAGGCAGGAGAATGGTGTGAACCTGGGAGGTGGAGCTTGCAGTGAGCCGAGATCACGCCACTGCACTCCAGCCTGGGTGACAGAGGAAGACCCCATCTCGAAAAAAAAAAAAAAGAAAAAGAATTAGTAACCCTGGAACTAAAATTATAATGACTGAACTTAAGAACTCATTAGATTAGGTTAACATTAGATTGGACATAGTTGAAGAGAAGATTAGTATACTGGAATTTAAGTCAGTAGAAAATATTCAGCCTGAAGCACAGGGAGAGAAGAGAATAGAAGATATAGGAAAGAAGCATAAGATGATGGGCATGGTGCTCATGCCTATAATCCCAGCACTTTGGGAGGCTGAGGTAGGAGGATTGCTTGAGCTCAGAAGTTAGAGACAACCCTGGCAACATAGTGAGACCTTGTCTCTACAAAAAATTAAAAAATTAGCTGGGTGTGGTGGTGTGCACCTGTAGTCTCAGCTGTTTGTGAGGCGGGAAGATTGCTTGAGCTGGGGAGGTTGAGGCTGCAGTGGACTGTGATCACACCATTGCACTCTGGTCAAGGAGACAGAACAAGACCCTGTCTCACCAAAAAAAAAAAAAAAAAAAAAAAAAAAAAAAAAAGAAATCAAACTTACGGAGGGGAGAAATAGAATAAAAAATACTTCATCAATCCAAAATGATATAAAATAGGAAACAGCAAATGGTAATATAAACTCAAAAGTATTGGCATTTAAATGACAATGGTTTGATGTACAAAAATAAGATTGTCAAATTGGATGTGAAAAAACAAAACCAACTGTATACTGCTTAGAAGAAATATAGGGGCCAGGCATGGTGGCTCATACCTATAATCCTAGCATTTTGGGAGGCTGAAGTGGTAGACTGCTTGAGCCCAGGAATTTGAGACCAGCCTGGGCAACACAGTGAGACCCCATCTCTACAACAAAAGAGAAAGAGAAAGAAAGAGAGAGGGAGGAAGAAAGGAAGTAAGGAGGGAGGGAGGGAGGGGAAAAGAAAAGAGAAAAGTAAAGAAATAGAATATTTGTATGACCTTCGGGTAGGCAATTTTTTTTCCCCCAATGGGACACAAGAAATCAGATAAAGACCGGGCACGGTGGCTTACACCTGTAATACCAGCACTTTGAGAGGCCGACGCGAGTGGATCACCTGAGGTTGGGAGTTTGAGACCACCCTGACTAACATGGAGAAATCTTCTCTCTACTAAAAACATAAAAAATTAGCCAGGCATGGTAGTGGGCGCCTGTAATCCCAGCTACTCGGGAGGCTGAGGCAGGAGAATCTCTTGAACCTAGGAGGCGGAGGTTTTGGTGAGCTGAGATCACACCATTGCACTCCAGCCTGGGCAACAAGAGCGAAACTCCATCTCAAAAAAAAAAAAAAAAAAAATTCAGATAAAAGTCAAGGAAAATACATATAAGTTGGACTACAGTAAAATTGTGACTCTTCATGAGAGAGTGGCTTATGCCTATAATTCCAGCTATTTAAGAGGCTGAGGCAGGGGAAGCTTCCTTGAGTCTAGGAGTTTTAGGTAGCATTGAGTGGGCTGTGATCATGCCACTGTATTCCAGCCTATGTGACAAAGTGAGATGGTTAAAAAGTGCCATTTGCAGTCAAAAGGCAAGGTACAGATTAGAAGATATTTACAGTGTTTATATGACAGAATATATAAATAACTTGTACAAATTGGTAAGAAAAAGACAATCAGAGACTGCAGCAAGTACTTCGCAAAAGATAATCAAATAGCGGCTGGGCATGGTGGCTCACACCCGTAATCCCAGCACTTTGGGAGGCCTAGGTGAGCGGATCACTTGAGGTCAGGAGTTCAAGATCAGCCTGGCCAACATGGTAAGACCCCGTCTCTACTAAAAATACAAAAAAAAATTAGCCGGGGGTATTGGTGCATGCCTGTAATCCCAGCTATCTGGGAAGCTGATGCAGGAGAATCACCTGTACCCCGGAGGCGGAGGTTGCAGTGAGTTGAGATCGTGCCACTGCACTCCAGCCTGGGCAACAGAGTGAGACTCTGTCTCTGAAAAAAAAAGGAAAAAAAAAAAGTAGCCACTAAACATGAAAAAGTACTTAACTTCATTAGTTATTATGAATATTCAAACTACAATTAAATATTAGTACAAATCCAGTAGAATAGTTAAAACTATTGAGACTGACAACACCAATTGTTGGTGAGGATGTGGAGCAACAGAAACTCTCATACACTGCTGGTGGAAATGCAAGTTTATATAACTGGAAAACTATATGGCAGTATTTATTAAATCTCAACATATCCATACTCTTCATTCAGCAATTTCACCTTCAGGTATATTCCCAGTAGTAATATATATGCATACCAAAAGACATTTCTAAGAATCTTTATAACTGTACTATTTGTAAAAGCCAAAACCTAGTGTTAACCTAAATGTCTATCAACAGTAGAATGGATAAATAAATTCTGGTATATGTGCTTAATGGAATATTATGCAGTAGTGAGAGTAAATGACCTAGTACTATACCCAGCAACATATATGAATCTCACAAAGAGCACAGGAAGCCAGATACAAAAGGGTAATACTACGTGATTTAAAATAGAATTTATATTTGTAAATTATAAAGTTCAGAGACTGGCAAAACTCATCAGTGGTGATATGAATTAGGATAATGGCTGCATTTTGGTTGTGGGGAGTGATTGGAAGGAGGCCCAAAGGGGACTTCTGGAGGTGTGGTGTTTTTCTTGGTTTGGGTGGTTATAAATGTGTGTTCACTTTGTGAAACCTTAGTGAACTGTACATACAGGATTTAAGCATTTTTCTGTGTTAATGTTGTATTTCAATGAAAAGTTTACCTGAAAATTAAGCCAGCATATGACAGTCTCCCTTTTCCTTCACTCAAAACAAGTGACTGAGTATGTTTTAGGTAATCACAATAATTATTAGGAAATTTGAAATGTTAAGTGCTTTAAAATATCATTTTATTTTAAAAAGTTTTCTTTGGAGATGGGGTCTCGCTGTGTCACCCAGGCTAGGATGCAGTGATTTGATAATAGCTCATTGCAGCTTCCAACTCCTGGGCTCAAGCAGTCTCCTACCTTGGCCTCTCAAATTGCTGCAATTATAGGTGTGAGCCACCATGCCCAGCCTTAAAAAGATATTAGTAAGCAAGATCAAATGTGGTAAGTGGAGGAAATATTTGTATGAGTGAATTCTGGTATTTTACCTGAGATTTTAAAAAATTAATTATAAATAAAACTTAACCACAGTTATTATTCTCTATTATAAAAGTAGCTTTAACTTTGTGAATTTTACTAATATAAAATGTAAGCTCTGAGCTGTATTAAATTTTTTCAATGAAAACTTGTATTTTAAAGAATATGTCATAAATATTCTTTGACCTCACAGGCCAACTGTGCAGGAAGATGGAGGGGATGTAATCTACAAAGGCTTTGAAGATGGCATCGTACAGCTGAAACTCCAGGGTTCTTGTACTAGCTGTCCTAGTTCAATCATTACTCTGAAAAATGGAATTCAGAACATGCTGCAGTTTTATATTCCAGAGGTAGAAGGCGTAGAACAGGTATGCCAATATTGTATGACAGGTCTAGATTTTTTTTCATTTTTTTCTTTTTCTTTGTGGATACAAAGGCTGGAAATAGATGTTAAGGCAAGTATTTGAAAAGAAATTCATGACCTAGCTTTTTCTTCAAGGGTTAGATTTTTGTGTTGCAATTTTTATCAGACTTGAAGTCTCTTATTTTAGAAGTAACTTTAGGCCGGGCACAGTAGCTCACACCTGTAATCCCAGCACTTTGGGAGGCTCAGGTGGGCGGATCACCTGAGGTAGGGAGTTCCAGACCAGCCTGACCAACATGGAGAAAACCCTTTCTCTACTAAAAATACAAAATAAGCTGGGCGTGGTGGTGCATGCCTGTAATCCCAGCTACTCGGGAGGCTGAGGCAGGAGAATTTCTTGAACCCTGGAGGCAGAGGTTGTGGTGAGTCGAGATCGCGCCATTGCACTGCATCCTGGGCAATAAGAGCAAAACTCCATCTCAAAAAAAAAAAAGAAAAGAAAAAGAAGTAACTTTAGTATTATGAGAACCTACTATGTGCCAGGCATTTTGCTCATTTCATCTTCTAGTAACACAGTGCATTAAGTCATTCCCGTTTTGCACACAAGGCCACAGAGACTCAGAGGGCATATTGCTGCCCTGATTGCACAAAAATTATGAAAAAGGTTTAACATGTAACACAGTGTTTTACAGATGAGATTTAGAAATCTTTAGTGGAAGAACTCTACTACATCATATTTACCAGTTTTTTTTTTTTTTGGTAGAGACAATTTTGCTATGTTGCCCAAGCTGGTCTTGAATTCCTGGCCTCAGGTGATCCTCCCAAAATGCTGGGATTAAGGATTAACACAACTGGCCTAATCTACGTATTCTTAAATATGCAAGCAAGAAGCCCATTAAAAATCATAGTTTGTCATTATACTGAATAGAATTCTAAAGCTTAATAGCACAATATCAACATTTTTTTTTTTGCCAACATACCTAAGGAGTATAACACAGCACCTTGTCATCAGTAATAATGACTCTTAATACTGCAGTGATTCTCAACCAAAAAGCATGGCCTTATGGAGAGAGATTATCAAGGAGTGAAGGGATGTGTGGAAATTAGAAATTTCCAACCCACAGAATTTCAGGTAAATCATTCTTTTTTTTTTTTTCTTTTCTTTTTTTTTTTTTTTTTTTGAGACAGAATCTTGTTCTGTTGCCCAGGCTGGAGTGCAGTGACATGCTATCTCGGCTCACTGCAACCTCCACCTCCCAGGTTGAAGCAGTTCCCATCCCTCAGCCTAATGAGTAGCTGGGATTACAGGCACATGCCACCATTTTTTGTATTTTGTATTTTAGTAGAGATGGGATTTCACCGTGTTGCCCAGGCTGGTTTTGAACTCCTGAGCTCAGGCAATTTGTCCGCCTCAGCCTCCCAGAGTGCTAGGATTACAGGCATGAGCCACCACGCCTGACCACCTCAGGTAATTCTGTGCCCTTAAGGGCTCCATTGGGAATCACTCATCCTTGGGTAGTATTAAAATTCATCTGTTGCACAGTGAGCAGGTCTATATAGACCTATCCCCAAAGTCTTAGGGAGCTGATGAGAGGCTGAAGAAAGAGGCTGACAAATCCAGTTGGTCAGAAAGAAACATTTAATAGGGACTGAGGAACAGAAGCCATTTATCGGGCAGCTGCAAGATGATGGATCCCTGCATTATTACCCCCTAGACTCAGGGCTTATATAGCCTAGGAGGAATGGGTACACATGCTTCAGAAGATATGTGTAGGACAATTGAAGTCAGCCCTTCTGGAAAAGGCAAGAATGCTATTTGCCTAATAGCCTATAATTTGCTTAAAGGCAAGATTTATGCTAAGTATGTGTTGTTTAGGATAACATCAAGGTTATTTTTACCTAAAGGCAGAATTAAATAGAAATCTCAGAGGCATTCCTAGAACTGAGGTTAGTCAATGTGGCAGATTAGCATCCAAGATGGAGTTGCTTTAGCCTCCACACCATCGTTTTGGTCCAGTACATGCCATCTCCTCTTTGAAGTTTTTATCAATCCCCCACTTGGAATTAAGTTCTTTTTGACAGGTCCAAAGCTTCTGTTTTGGCTTTATATTTATGTGGCTTTCTGTATCTGTTTTAGCTTTATGTTTACGTGGAAGCTCCCTAAGAGACCTGAAATCATATCCAAGTCTTTGTATTCCTCTGCAACAACTAGCTGTGTGCCTTAAAAATGTCCTATACATGTTTTGTATTAAGTATTTGGGAATATTATTCCAAATTAAGGAATAATTCTGCCTAAAATATGAGTTGGTTGACAAAATTTTTTGGATTGGGTATTGTTGAAATTGGTTGTAAAATATTAATTTCTTGGAAATAAATACCAATTTTTACTCAACCGAAAAGGTATCCTATGAAAGAATTCTTTTTCTATTGATTGTCTCAGAGCAGAGCCAGAATCTAGATTTTTTTTAGACGTAGTTTCACTCTTGTTGCCCAGGTTGGAGTACAATGGCGTGATCTTGGCTCACTGCAGCCTCCACCTCCTGAGTCCAAATGATTCTCCTGCCTTAGCCTCCCCCGTAGCTGGAATTACAGGCACGCGCCACCATGCCCGGCTAATTTTCATATTTTTAGTAGCAACAGGGGTTTCCCCATGTTGACCAGGCTGGTCTTGAAGTCTTGACCTCAGGTGATCCGCCCGCCTCAGCCTCCCAAAGTGCTGGGATTACAGGTGTGAACCACCATGCCTGGCCTAGATTTTTTTTTTTTTTTAAACCTTATTTTGTTCCATTATCATCTATATGCCTTAAAAAATTACATTAGTGGATACTTTGGTGGATTGACTGAGAAACATTTTTATTCATTTGTCCAGGGTGGGGTGATGAATTGGCCTTCAAATTAGAAACTTGAATTGGCATCTAATTGTAGTAGGTGTGGCAAGGAGGAAAAAGCATTCTTAGGTTTATGTAACTTTTTCCTTCTCCAATGGAGTTAGTCTGTTATCTTAGTAATACATTAACTCATGGAAAGATAATAGTTGTTGTAACATTTTCCTGAGGTTTAAAATGACCTTTTATCTGAGTAAGACTAAAATAATTAGTTTCTAATATGGTGGATTTTTTTGTTTTGTTTTGTTTTTTACTTTCCTTGGGGATTAATTTTAATAAAAATAAATGCTTTTATAATAACAGTTTGGTATAGCTTCACAGAATATATTTAAGTAAATAAGATGGTTTTGAAAAAAAGAAAAAGTCAATTACGTTAGTCTTATGGATAGAGGATACCAGTTAATTTTTTTTTTTTTTGAGACAAAGTCTCGCTCTGTCACCAGGCTGGAGTGCAGTGGCATGATTTTGGCTCACTGCAATCTCCACCTCCCCAGTTCACGCCATTCTCCTGCCTCAGCCTCCCTAGTAGCTTGGACTATAGGCGCCCGCTACCACGCCCAGCTAATTTTTTGCATTTTCAGTAGAGATGGGGTTTCACCGTGTTAGCCAGGATGGTCTCCATCTCCTGACCTCGTGATCCACCTGCCTCGGCCTCCCAGAGTGCTGGGATTACAGGCATGAGCCACCGTGCCTGGTCCCAGTTAATTATTTATAGTCTTTTCTGCCCAGCTGAGACTCTGCTGTGGGTAGCCTCTTTGAGACAAGGAGAAGTGATCAATGCTTTAATTAATTTCCAAATATTTAATTTGCTTTTATGTTTTTAGGATACCAGGTTATGATTCAAACCTTGTTCTTTGGGGCTGTTAATAGATTTATTCTTACTGGCTTGTCATGCATCGTTACAGAGTATATCAGGTAAAGAAGTAATATTAAAATCAGGAAAATAGCAAAATCTAATCATTTTCTTGATTCTTAAATTGTCTTTGTTTTTTGGTTTTAGGTTATGGATGATGAATCAGATGAAAAAGAAGCAAACTCACCTTAAAATAATCTGGATTTTCTTTGGGCACAACAGTCAGACTTGTTGATAATATGTATCAAGTTTTTATTATTAATATGCTGAGGAACTTGAAGATTAATAAAATATGCTCTTCAGAGAATGATATATAAATATTACATGTTTGCTTTACCTCATATGAGTTATTTATAACCTCTTGAATCATCTTCTGTACATGTGGATTTTATCCAAGGATATTTTTATTTTTGTTCCTTATTTCCCATGGCTCCTTTGCATATGTGTGAAGGAGTTTAAAATACATTTCCCCCTCATCTAATTTATTTACTTTTTTCATACAGGAAGAAACAGAATGCTTTTTAGAATATTCTAAAATGGCTTTTTGCAAAATATCTAAAACTATTTTTACTGAAGTTTTTAGCTTAAGAAACAGCTAGGGCCGGGCACGGTGGCTCAAGCCTGTAATCCCAGCACTTTGGGAGTCTGAGATGGGCGGATCACGAGGTCAGGAGATTGAGACCATCCTGGCTAACACAGTGAAACCCCGTCTCTACTAAAAATACAAAAAACTAGCCGGGCGAGGTGGTGGACACCTGTAGTCCCAGCTACTCAGGAGGCTGAGGCAGGAGAATGGCGTAAACCCGGAAGGCGGAGCTTGCAGTGAGCTGAGATCCGGCCACTGCACTCCAGCCTGGGTGACAGAGGGAGACTCCGTCTCAAAAAACAAAAACAAAAACAAAAAAACCCAGCTAAACAATTCTGTTTTAAAAATGGTATCTGGCTGCTAGCCCTCAATTAAGTAGCAAAGAACTTCTTAAGACCAAAAAATCCCAAAAATGGCTGGGTGTGGTGGCTAATGCCTGTAATCCCAGCACTTTGGGAGGCTGAGGTGGGCAGATCACAAGGTCAGGAGTTCAAGACCAGCCTGAACAACATGGTGAAGCCCTGTCTCTACTAAAAATACAAAAATTAGCCGGGCATGGTGGCACATGCCTGTAATCCCAGCTACTCAGGAGGCTGAGGCAGAAGAATTGCTTGAAACCAGGAGGCGGAGGTGGCATCGAGCTGAGATCATGCCACTGCACTCCAGCTTGGGCAATAGAGTGAGACAGCATCTCAGAAACAAACAAATGCAAAAAATCAAAAACTAACTTCTAGAATCCGGACACAGTTTCTGTTGGTTAAGATGGAGATGGCTGAATTAGAAAAACTGCCTCAGCATACCCAGCCTTTACCTTATGAATCAGAATTGCTGAAGAAGAGAGAAGAAGCTGCTTTGGTCCTTCCACTGGCTTCTGACTCAGAGATCCATAATCTGTACCATGCCAGACTTTCTACTCTAGGAGTGCTGCTTTTTCAGGTAGCCAAAAGAGTGATTTAGCATTCTCTCTCATTTTTCTATAGTAATTCAGAGACTGCAGTTAATAGAAAATACAGGGAAAGGAAAGATGGGAAATAGTAGTGATAAATTGCATCTCTGGAATTCTAGTCCCTCAAATTAAGGAGATTAAGATAGTGATGGAAACAGGAAGGACTCTAGCAGTTGTGAGTGCTGGGAATTGAAGTTTTTACTTTTATCCTTTGGTTCACTGAACCAAATAGTAGGGTTGGAGAATTCATTCCTGGAGATATCATGTATGAATTTAATTTAGACACAGGGAATTGCTTCATAAGCAAGGCAACTTAACCTGCCCTTTAGTTGAAGCTATAGGAAATTGATATGGTGGATGAGATGCAAGTAATGGCATATCTTGGATGTGAACATGAAATAAGAGGCTGAATTGGGTGGAGGGTTAGATTATTAGAAGAGAGGAAATTGACCCGGCGCAGTGGCTCACGCCTATAATCCCAACACTTTGGGAGGCTGAGGCGGGCAGATCACTTGAGGTAAGGAATTCGAGACCAGCCTGGCCAATGGTGAAACCCCATCTCTACTAAAAATACAAAAATTAGCCAGGTGAGGTGGCATGTGCCTGTAATCCCGGCTACTCAGGAGGGTGAGGCGCGAAAATCCCTTGAACCTGGGAGGTGGAGGTTGCAGTGAGCTGGGATTGTGCCACTGCACTCCATCCTGGGTGACAGAGTGAGATTCTGTCTCAACAAACAAACCAACAACAACAACAACAACAGAAAACCAGGAAATTCTTCAATTGAGAAGCCAAAGTATTGGAAAGATTTTCTACAAAATTAACAGCCATGAAGAACAAGGAGGAAAGGTGTGGGATTCTAGGCATAGAGTAGTGTAATCAGAATTGTAAGTGTGAAATGTATTTGGGAACCTCAAGAAGCTAAGTATGGCTTGAGTATAAAGTGAAAATGGTGCACAAGTAGGCAGTGGTAGTATAGAGAATGCCACAGAAACTCTTGGTTGCCTACCCTCACATATACCCTCACTTCTTGTTAAGGAAGGCCCTCTCAGTAGGTCTCACCTCAGTCCCAGGGGATAAGTTATGATTAAACCAGTCACTTTAACTCCATTTTTCTTTTCCAAGTCATTCGTCTGTGGGTAGCCATATGACCTAGCTCTGGCCAGTAAACTGGAAGAGAAAGTCTTTTGGAGAATTCTGGAAAGATTGTCTTTCCTGGTTAAGACTGTGTATGTGAGTTAATCTCTGGAAGGAAGGCCCCTTTTTTTTTTTTTTTTTTTTTTTGAGACGGAGTCTTGCTTTGTCGCCCAGGCTGGAGTGCAGTGGCCGGATCTCAGCTCACTGCAAGCTCCGCCTCCCAGGTTTACGCCATTCTCCTGCCTCAGCCTCCCGAGTAGCTGGGACTACAGGCGCCCGCCACCTCGCCCGGCTAGTTTTTTTTTTTTGTATTTTTTGGTAGAGACGGGGTTTCACCGAGTTAGCTAGGATGGTCTCGATCTCCTGACCTCGTGATCCGCCCGTCTCAGCCTCCCAAAGTGCTGGGATTACAGGCTTGAGCCACCGCGCCCGGCTTTTTTTTTTCCTCCATTCCTTTTCTTCCTGCTTGGTACACTGTAGAGTGTGATGTTCAAAGGAATGATAGTCAACTTGTAATCATGACTAAAAGTTTGTTCACTGAGAATAGCAAAGAGCAAAGAAAGGGTCTAGATCCTTGGCCTTGCACGGTGGCTCATACCTGTAATCCCAGCACTTTGGGAGGCCCCAGCGGGTGGATCACTTGAGACCAAGAGTTTGAGACCAGTGTGGCCACCATGGTGAAACCCCATCTCTACTTAAAAACACAAAAATTAGCCTGGTGCAGTGGCATATGCCACCTAGTAGTCCCAGCTGCTAGGGAGTCTGAGGCTTGAGAATCACTTGAGCCTGGGAGGTAGAGGTTGCAGTGAGCTGAGATCATGTCACTGCACTTCACCCTGGGCGACAGCAAGACTGTGTCTCAGAAAAAAAAAAAGGAAAACAAAGGGGGGGCCTGGATCCTTGAGACATTGTTGGCCTTTTGGCCCGACTAAGAATTACACTCATTTTCAGAGTTTATATGACGTGAGATAAATGTTTTTCTTGTTTTAGCTACTGTTATCAGGTATTCTGTAACTTGAAGCTGATTGCATTCTGAGAGACTGGTAAATGATGGAGGACTTGGTAAATACTTTTACCAATTTTTCGTTTGTGGTAAACTGCCAAATGTCAACCTTAAAATGAAAACATGCCGGCTGCAGTGGCTCACGCCTGTAATTCCAGCATTTTGAGAGACTGAGGCAGGTGGATCGCCTGAGGTCAGAAGTTCGAGACCAGTCTGGCAAACATGGTAAAACCCTGTCTCTACTAAAAAAATACAAAAATTAGCTGGGCATGGTGGTGGGCCCCTGTAATCCCAGCTACTCGGGAGGCAGAGGCAGGAGAACCGTTGGAACCCGGGAGGCAGAGGTGGCAGTGAGCTGAGATCATGCAACTGCACTCCAGCCTCGATGACAGAGCAAGACTCCATGTCAAAACAAAAACAAATTAACTTGTATTTTTAAATTAATTGAACCACTATTCAAATACTAAGTTTAATCAGGTAATGGTTTTTATTTTGAAATATTTATACTGAATTTCTCTCTATATAATCCCAAAGAAAGACTAATAATCACTATTAGTTGTGTTTAGCCAAAACAAAAATTAAAAAAAAAACCCAAACATACAAGAAACCCCCAAAATGTATAAAATATTTTGTATTTATTTATTTTTTCTTTTTCTTTTTAAAATAGAGATGAGGTCTTACCCTGTTACCCAGGCTGGAGTTGCAGTGGTGCAATCATAGCTCAGTGCAGCCTCAAACTCCTGGGCTCAAGCCATCTTCCTGCCTCAGCCTCCCAAGTAGCTAGGACTACAGGCATGCACAACCATGTCCAGCTTTTATAGAATATTTTACATGAAATATCCTGAAAACACTTTGTAAATATAGGATGCTTCAATAAGTACTTGAAACTAAGATTATTGGTCAAGAGTATACCAGGCATTTGGGGTTTTTCTTTTTTTTTGTTGTTGAGACAGGGTCTCACTCTATTGCCTTCAGACTGGAGTGCAGTGGCGTGATTGTGGGTCACTGCAGCCTTGACTTCCCACGCTCGAGTGATTCTTCCACCTCTGCCTCCCAAGTAGTTGGGACTATAGGTGCACACTACCACACCCAGCTAATTTTTTTTTTTTTGTAGAGACAGGATTTCACCATGTTGCTCAGGTGGATCTGCAACTCATGGGCTCAAATGATCCACCTGCCTCAGCATCCCAAAGTGCTGAGATTACAGGCGCGAGCCACCACGCCTGGCCTGAGGATTTTTCACTAGCCAAAATTAAGATGAAGCCCTATACAGGATGACATACAGTCATATGAGAGCAACATATATAAAAATAGCAAACGTTCATTGAACATTCAATGTTCATGTATTCATTGAGCATCCTTTGTTCTCAAGCCTGAAGTTTTCACAAACACTGTTCTAAGCACCTTACATTTATGAAGTCATTTAATCGTATGCGATTGTTAACTATTGTCCCTCCTCCCACCCCCCCCTTTTATTTTTGAGATGAAGTCTTGCTCTGTCATCCAGGCTGGAGTGCAGTGGCACCATCTCAGCTCACTGCAACCTCCTCCTCCCACGTTCAAGCGATTCTTCTGGAATTACAGGCATGCGCCACCATGCCCGACTATTTTTGTATTTTTGGTAGAGACAGGGTTTCACCATATTGGCC